AAAGATTTTCGACCATTATAAGTAAAAGGTGTAAAAAAAGTAATCTTGACTTGCATGCGCATGATTGTGACTAATTGGCAAGCAGCTTCTCAAGCCATGGTCATAGGTCAAAACGCCAGCGCAGCGAGTAAATCATTTTTCCATACGAAACATGCACTGTGAACATCTTAATAAAATGAACGAAAACCGTAATATGGCGAACTCCTATACAAAATACTTAAATTGGCATCAAAGGGATCTCAGTCGCAATACGATATGCAAAGGCGTCACACTTCGCTGGCCACGACTTCGATCTAATATTGAGACTCGAACTATCCAAGTACTTTCGTATCTTCCAGGCGAGATATTATGAGCTCTATGAACGCTCCAAAAGTCTCTATTACCAACATCTACAATGTTGCCCCTAGATATAGATATACCCAATTTATGCATAAATTTATTGAGCAACAGACGTATGTGTTAAAAGTCATAAAAATCCTTAATTCTCATAAAGCACACGAAATGTCGAGTCGAAGTTAAATAGAATATAAATCAACTAATAAATAACACGTTTTAAACAGTTAAACCTGTTTTATTTAAATGCGTATTACTTGCATAATTAGACGACACTTAACGCATTTTACTAATAACACAGATCTTGTAAAATGTATTATATATATGATAAGCTCTTATTTATTAATTTAATCAGTAAAATATGTATCCCTAGATTGCTATCACTTACTTTTTATATGTCTTTAACTTTTTATTACCACAGTAGAGTGCAAACTTTTTCAGCCTATTAGACTAAAAAAGTATAATATCTATTAAGTGCCTACTGTTAGTAAAATGTTCATGCAAACAAATTTAGTCTGGAAATGGACAATAGAGAAACACTTTCGTGATAGCTATCTCTTTCTCACGAAATCTTCAACGCATAACATAACAAAACGTTTATCTCGATACGTTATTACGACTTAATTGTGTTTCATCCCGCAAAGGCATTGTAATCTTACGATGAGCGACAAACATTAAATTAAACAAATGGAAAGGGACTTTATTGACAGATAATTGGAGTTTACTTTTTTGGAGGAAAATACCCCAGCCATAAAACATCTATGGATGTTATATTTTGGCCTCGAGCATTCAGAAATACAGATTACCTTCTGGTAGACGCGGGTAGACTTCAATGTTTTATCTTATCTGTGGTCGGTGGTTCGTGTGTGAACAAATCTAACTAACACTCACTCATTACTATAGATCACCTCTGTAGCTAAATGGTAAAACGCGTTAAACACATTCCAGTCCTGGATTCGAATCCTGGGGTAACGATAGATTGTTTCGGTTGGGCAGTGCATAATTATACGATTAACTACTTGCTTGTAAATAAAATCGATCAGTGAAATGGAAAGATAAATATTCAATACAAAGACACATAGATTTAGATCGATCTAAAACTCATCGGTTTTTTTTACAGGGATGTAATTTTTTCAGGCCGCCGTAACAGCGAGAATTTCATCCAAAGTATTCCCAAATTCCTTTAACTACACGAGTTATGTTCATGGTATTTCTGAAAGCAACATTAATATTGTATAGGTTTTTCATCTGAAACAAAACTTCTCATTATATTATTTCCTATGTATATAAATAACGATGAAAATTCATTTCATTCTTACTATTTTTGTATATGAGTTTTACACTATCATACTCAACATAGTCTGTAATATAAAATGGATTGACTACATTTATATCATACGCGTAGTTACGCTGCGACTCTATAACGCGTCCACGCAACAAAGTTGATAATAGAGCTAAAATGTCTAAAGAATTTCTTCTAAAGGTCATTGTGATGTGTGAAAGAGACGCTAAACTTGAATTCCATCGGGCATATTAAGTCCATGGGCGAGACTCCGTGAGAAGATGGACGATCAACCATGCGAAAATGAATTAATTGTTGTGCCGTGCTAACTGGGTATAACTACAGGTTTTTATATAGTTTTGAAGTGTAAACTTAAGCGACGTACTTCTGAAACTTGATTAGAATTATCTGTTTGTAAAAAATAACGGTTTAAAATGCGATATATATTACTTAGACTTATTTGAAACGTCGGACCTTAGTTAAAATAATTTTCAAATAAATTTAATTACTATACATAGCGTTTAAAACCGTTCGTTTAAAAGCATTAAACAAATTATTTACCACCGGTTCGGACAAAGCGCCATACAGACATATTAGACAGGAGCGATATTTATTATCAACTAAAACACTTACTAATTTAAAAAGCAAAATATTTGTCTAAAAGACATTTATGTTTTATTATATTTGTCTGGTGGCAGGTAAAAGTAAAAAATGGCCTTTTAAACCTTTAATAATGTTTTATTTTATATATACCGCTCCTGGCTTCTACATACGATCTGATGATATGTTTTAAAGCTAGATAGTTTAAAAACAAAAATTATATTTTTAGGACATGGGGCAAAGCTAGAGCATTTTATATACTGACAAGTAGTTGAAAAGACGTGTCCGCCCTACCTGTTAAAACTATTTTGTCCCAGGATTTGTCGCGCTTAACGCAAGGCTTTCTTTTAATATAGTATTAATGTGATAATATGACATCAGATTTTTTAGTACTATAACAGGCACGTACAGCAAGCGTTTATCGTGTTAATATCATTAATATTAGCGACTCACAAGTGTTGAGTTCTTGACACGTTAATGCATAGATAATGTGCCAAGTTTAATAACTATCGACTTGTGGGAGTTTAACGCGCTCCCGATGTAATATGTCGATGGAACCATAGATAATTATATATTTTCTTAGTTTATTTAGCTTATAGTGACTTCCATTAACTCGAAATTATTTTAACCATAGTATAGTGTTCTAGCAAGATACAACCGCTTTTAAATTATTTATAAATACACGTATTAATTATTTTTTAAAACAGTCAACTTATTTCATTTGTGAGTTAATACCTCATTTTTTTTATTCAAGCTATAGTCACTAAAATTTAAATAACAGCCCACGCATTATATATACATATATGTATGTATAAGAATTATCATACTCATAACTAATATAAAACAGTAATGTTTTATATTTTATATTTTTTTTTTTTTAATTGATTATTACTTCCATGGGCCACAAATACTAACCGGACGTTTTGGGCGAGCGCGTTAGCGCTCGCCGTGTTTGCGACTAGACCAAGGGTGCCCCGAGGGGGGCATCGGCCTCGGCTTGGGACCGCCGCAGGGGTGGGACTTGAAGAGCTGGACGGAAGCTAGTAGCGGTACGCGTAGCGAGTGACCTCGCTACGCCGGCGTAGGCGGTTATGCGAGGCGCGGTGTGGGATGCAGCGGTGGAGATGACGGTTTCGTTAGATCGTCGTCGGGGTCGGTAAGAACATTACGCGGCCTTCTAGGTGTATTGAGGGAAGGTGTATTGGGGCTCGGGCCACCAGGGGTTGGAGAGGTTTTTAAAGAACCGTTGGCGATTTTGAAGTACCGCTGAGGGTCGGTAATGAGGTGGCGTAAGATTAGCATTCCGCAGAGTGGCTCCAGTAGCGGTTCGGGTGAACCGTTCGAGACCTGAGTGTGGAGTGTTTTAGGGGCGGGTGAGCGAACACGACGTGGATAGGGAAATGGAGAAACAAGGTAGGTAACCTTATGGAGGGACATTTCTACGCGCGCAAATTAAGGATAAGCTATGTAGGGTTGGAGAAGAAGGAATGTCTGGAAGTTTAATGACTATCAAGCGTAGCTGGTATGACGGAAGTCTTCGCGTGCTTGACATTGGGGGGCTTGAGAGGGGAAGGGACTAAGTAAGTAGATGCCGACTCATGGGTTGACCCGCCTTGGCATGCGCTAGGGGTGGCGGGTTGGAGAGGAGACATCCGCTGGTGCAGTGTGGTGAATGGCCGTATGTCGGCGAAAGGGGGTGGGGAGGAAGTCGCTGAAAGAGCGAATGGATCGGCGGAGAACGGATCCTTGGGAAGGCCTGAGCGAAGGGTTTCGGGGTGGAGAGGGCGCCCTCCAGGGAAGCGGAGGAACGATTGACAAGAATAGTGGATAACTCGCACCATTGTGGGAATATTTTATAGTTACCTATGCCTTTCATACATATTTAACTCAGGTTACTTACTTAATACCGAAGTAGCCGTATCCACCAAACTTGGAATTTGAGTATTAATATCAAATTTATCTTAATTACTCTTACTCAGAGTAGAAACTAGAGATTTCTCGTTTTTAAACTGGCTCTTCAAGTATATCATCATAAGAAATCGTAAAGCAAACTTACTGTTGAACGTACATGTTTGGGTGGAAAGCTGTCCTACGAGATTCAATTTCCTACGGTTAAGTTTTTCTAAGAAAGTGAAAACCGTTAAAATCGTAATTAAAATGGCGGAACTCACGACTTCTTCGCGCATGTCCTTATATTCTATAATTAATGGCGGTACTTAATGTGAAACTTACATCTAACTGTTATTTTTATATAAAATATGTAGTGTTTTAGCTAACAAATCACTCTGCATCGCTCTACCATTACTAAGAATATTTTGTTTAAAATAAAAAAGAGATTTTTGTATTTCACCACAATTTAATTACCTAACTGGTTAACATCCGAATTTAGAAACTTCTTAGACGATACCCTTGTTATTTTTATAATATTCAATATTCTACATTTAATATTCTTCAGCCATAGTTGTCAATGTCAATTATGACAAAAGTGTCAATGTCACTACAGTCCGAATCAGCTGTCTTATTGTATATTGTGTTTGATTTTATGTTATGTTTATTATATTAGATACCATTCAATAATTCTAAGATTTCCAAAATCAATAATTATTAACTGCTGATAATTATTGTTAAAAAATTGTCTACTTAGTTTCTTATTAATGTGGTAATATGTAAACAATTCTTATACATTGTAAGAAGTAGTAGGATTTTAACATTACTTATGTTGGTAATGGTAGTTTAATAAACAATAATTCATAATTTTACTGCTTAAGTCACTTAATATAGAACCATGTCGGCCCTACTCACTGCAGATTGGTTTCAACTGGATTCCTATTACAGGTACAATAAATATTTACCATAATTATTAGTTAAATCTAATAAAAAATACATGACAAAATACGCCCCTTCCAGGAAGTTCGATCTTTACAACATGGTCTGGGCCATGGACGAAGGTTTAGGTAACATGATAGTAAGCGGTGCACCATATGGAGGTCCGTTAGCAGTTGTAAGAGACAGGAAACAATTTGTCCGAGTGATGTCCACTGGTAATCCAGTGATCACAATCTATAATGGAGTTGGCAATGTTATTTCGAAGATCTTGGTATGTATAAAAAGTTAAACTTACATAAATAAGGAGAAATTCAACATATATATATATATATAGATATGTGGAATTTCAAAACACATATTTTTATATATATATATATAGTTGTCATATAGATAGGCTAGTTTATACATGATGATGTGTAAAAAATGAGGCACACCAATAAAGCCTGGATCGATCAACCATGAGAATCTCCTGGATCAGTCCACATAAAACACTCTAATTCACCACCTTCAGAATTTTTTTTCCTATCAGGGACACCTTGGCAGGACGGGTGATCAGTCCACATTATCTGCTGACCATTTCACCCATTTCCCCGTAACCTCCTTGCAGAGGTTTTGGGTCAACCAACTCTTTCCGTGTCCCCTTCAAACTTTCCGGTTTGCTTGCAGAAACTTATTATTTTTCCATCTGTAGTTCTATAATGTCATCTACTGTAACTTTGTCTGAGCCCATATGCATTTGTCTTAGCCTTGAGTACGCAGAGCATTCAGTGAGTAGATGGACAGCAAAATTATTATTTTTGATAACAGTTGTATATAATTTAATCTTTCTAGCGTTATACTGTAATATATAACAGTGTATAATAAGTAAATATATGTTACCTGTTGCACATTTATATAGTATACAAAATTGTGTTTGGACAAGATTTACTTTATAAGAGAAGTATTATTAAATTACTGTAAAACCTGGACTTAATGATACTAGGCTCTAAACCTTATAAGCAAATTTGTATAATAAATTGTGTTATTTGGAAAATTATAAGGTTATATGGTGAATAACTATCAAAATATAATTTAAGTGGCAATACGGAGTTCTCATACAAATGGGTTGGTCAGATGGTGAGCAGCTCCTGTGTGTGCAAGAAAGCGGGGATGTGATTATCTTTGATATGTTTGGAGAATACCAAAAGACACTTAATATGGGTCAAGAAGTAAGAGACACAAAGGTATGGATAGTTCTTTACTCTGATACTTTTCAACATGTTACTGTTATTAAAAGTTTTCTAAGTCTACATTGAAATGAAAACTTGGTGCTTTTCAAAGGTTGTTAAAACAGTGAATCTCTTCAATGTTGAAGAACACATGAAGTGTTCTTCTGCATTTATAATAAACTAACTAAATATATCAACTTATATTTATGTTACCTTTAAGACTTTAAATGCGTCAAGTACTTGCATTTATTTATTTTAAATACTGTCTATAGTTTACGCGAGTAGTACACATTGAAATAGAACACTAACGTTTCGGCCGTGGTCACAGTCTGCCCGTGACCACGGCTGCTGCAAAGTATCCGAAACGTCGGGCCGAAGTTAAAACTCATTTTCAAATAAGTTTAACTATTATATCGCGTTTTAAACCGTTAAAGTGTTTTATTTAGTTATTTTAATTCAATTAATATTAATATTATTTTAGGTATGCAAAGCGCAGCTCTTTCCGAATCCTCATGGGATTGGTTTAGGTGTTATCACAACGACTAACCGGATGTTTTTAGTTAGCAATGTTTCAGAACCTAAAGTGAGATCTGTGCCTGATATACCTAGTAAGTTTAGTTGTACTATTTATTAATAACAGCAATTAATTTTCTGATCTGCTCAAACATTCTTTATTATCTGTTATTATTCCATTTGATGTTTTACAGAACCAAACTTACCAATAAGTTGCTGGTGCATATTGAGTTGTGGTCAGCGATCCTCATCACAAATAAGTTTCCTTGTGTGCCGCGATAAAGAGATATTCAAATGTCAACTTGGAGAAAGTCGACCTATTCTTACTATGGTGAGTTTAGTTTAAACAATATCATTCATGTTAACGATAAGAAATACCATTTATTAGGTTCATGCAGGCCACTTGGTATTCTGTCACCAGTCTGCAGTCTTACATATAAAATATGATTACAGCGAGCTGAATTCAAGAATCCCTACACACAAGTCCTATCAATTGTGCCATCACAAAATGGCCGGCACGTAGCTCTGTTCACGGATTCTGGCTTCCTATGGATAGGTTCGTCGGACTTTAAGAACAAATATTGCGAAATCGATACAGGATTTATAAAACAACCGAAGGAATTGGTGTGGTGAGAAACAATTTCATATATTATGTATTTGAATTTTACTGATACCGTGTTAAATATTCATTTTAATAAATGTAAACATTTTGAATAGGCTTTTAACGGTTTAAAAAGCGAAATGTATCTGTTAACTTTTTTACAAATTTTGTTCATTTCGGATGGGCCGTAGTTAAAATAATTGGTAAATAAGTAAAAGGCATTTCGTATTTTGTACTATTCGCGTAAACATCAGATAATACTAAATTGTAAGCATGGCAAGATTTAATTGGCTGGAAATTTTATGTCAATTGAGTAATTATGCGTCATACAACGTAGTTCGTCTATTATTTCTTTTTAAATACAAAATGTATTTAAATTGAAAATTTCTTCTTTCTCTGAATTTTTATAAGAAACCAAACATCCTCTTTATAATAGAAAATTATTGTGTCTTTGCATGGCTTTGCGAGTGCTAAAAATTGTTGAATCGATTTGCAGGTGTGGCTCCCAAGCCATTGTCGGCCACTGGGACGACATGATGTGTATCTACGGCTTCAACGGCCAAAACATCTCCTATCCCTACGACGGTCCCTTCCACATAATCCCAGAAATGGACTGCGTTCGTGTTATATCGGAAATGACGCACGAACTGATACAAAAAGTTCCCGTTGTTGTCGAGAAGATATTTAGGATCAACAGTACAGCTCCTGGCTCTTATTTGGTTGAGGCGTCTAAGCAATTTCAGGTAAGTCGATCGTAGAGAAATATATATATATATATATATAAAAAAAATGTAAAAGAGTGACAGATCTGATGAAAACGCGATTTAATTAATTTAATAATTTATGTAGTCCTTACTATGCTTACTGGAAAATACTCAATTGTACTGAATTTGACGGGCTCCATGGTGTAATGTTTAATTAATTACATTCTTAGTCATACATTGCTACTTGTATGGCAAATTTTTCGGGTCGTGGATTCGACCGTGTACTCACTGGGGGTTTTTTAATCAATTAATATAATTTTCTGAAATATGTCTAGATATAGATAAAGGTGGTAGAAATATCGAAATATGATATATGGCTGGGGTATTTCGCCTACCATCAAGTAAACCACGTGCTTGTCTTTCTCCCTCTATCATAAGTCTCTTTCAGGGCTTCATGTATTTTAGTAAAAGATTATCAAATAAAATATTAATAAGAATTATTTCACTCTCATAACGTTTCACTTGAGACAAATATTTGAACTAAAGTGATATTTTAACACTCTTACTTTATATCTCAATATATTCTTCTATGTGAGCTATACCGTATATATAAATTTATAAAAAAAAACAGTTTAACCACATCGACATTTCCTTATTATTAAATATAATTTTCAATTTTAGAAACGAAGTCATCGCGCTGACGAATACATACGTCTCGTCAAACCGGACTTGGCGAGTGCGGTTCAAGATTGTATCGATGCGGCCGCCTTTGAATTTAATACAGACGTCCAGAAAATGCTGATACGAGCGGCCCAGTTCGGCAAAGGGTTCCTCATGGACGCGGCGCTGACCGATCACTATGTCAAGACGTGCCGGTGGCTGAGAGTCCTAAACTCAGTCCGGGATAGCAGAGTTGGCATACCGCTGACGTTTTTGCAGTATCCTTTACATAAACATACTTCGTAAAAATTTATCTATGTCGTTGCGCGAGAGATAGATGTATCAATCGGTTGAAAGAAATCGGCAATGGCGTGTAGGACACGGTAGCTCAATTAGTTAGAGCAACAGCACGGAACACTGTGGATGCCGGTTCAAGATTCTGCCCGTGTCGTAAAATTATTTAAATCTATATCCAATTTTTAATTTATACACTTGCATATAAACAGGACTTGCTGTATTCGCGACTTTAGCCCCCCGAATATTTATTTAGGGCATCAAAATTAGTAAGGATATAGTAGTTGAACTTATTTGAAAATGATTTTTAACTTCGGCCCGACGTTTCGGATGCTTCGCAGCGGCCGTGGTCACGGGGAGACTAAAGATGGAGGATGTCTCTGACGTCAAAGTCAAAACTGCTGCGCTACGCTAGCGCCATCTGTTCCGTCGAAGTTGGTATTTGGCGAAACTGGCCGTATCCTTAGAGAATTGACTAGCGGTATCTTCTACCTATACCTTTACCATTCTACCCAAAGCAGTCATCATTTCTTACACACCTTAACTCAATTCATAATAACATTAAGTTTACAATGGAACAGGAGGACAATAACACACTAACTTTCTTAGACATTTTAATAATTCGTGACGAACACGATAATATCGGGCATACCGTATTTAGAAAAACAACCCATACGGGTGGGTTTCATCACTGTTCTCTTTTTCTATTAGTCTTAGCGTGATGTTATATAGCCTATAGCCTTAAATGCTCCATAAAACACAGAAAGAATCAATTCGAACCACTAGTTGCCAGGATTACCTAGTTCAAACAAATAAACTCTTCAGTTCTATAATATTAGTATAGATAAGGGAAGCGTTTGGCTTGCATCTGAAATGTTTTGCGACTTCCTTAACTCCATAACACCAGAATGCAGAATTTAGGAGAAATGATACTACTGGACAGATTGATATGGAGACGGCTGCATTGCTTAGCGGGTCTCGTAGCAACTTATCTTCAGCTCAAAGGTGGACCCGCCCGGGTTTTATCGCATTGGGCATGTTATAAGGTAAATGACTGCAGGCTTTTGCCAGGTCAGGTAGGAAAGTGTTTCGGCCGAAATATTGCTATAAAACGTTTCTTGTTTATCTTAAGAGGTAGTCTTGTACTGTCTTGGACATTTGTTTAAATCCTATAAAGAAGAATTATCCTTTCATACCTTTCTTTGGTTTTCTGAACCGTTTTTGCTGCGCACGCAATGGAAGCCCCCAAAGAATATTTTTCCACGTTCTTTCCACATTTTCAATGTTAACTAGTAGTTTCAGAGATTGGCGCGTCCAAATAGACTCTTTAGCTTTATAATATTGGTATAGATATATAGGCGGAAACATTTCTTAAATTCAAGACCACTAGCTTTTCAAAAGAAGCTGTATATTGTCTAATCTATAGGGTAGGGTAGGGTTCTATTTACAAGATGTCATTGCTTCGGTATAGTTAATTCACACCGTTCATTCAAGAATTCTTAATTGTAAGTAGTTCTTGTAGTAAATTTATTAGCTACTGGTTTTGTTTTAGGTCACCCAGCCACATTTGGACAGCGAGAGCGCTGCCCGGGAAATCGGTGAAAAGCTACGGAACGTCCCAGGCATCTCCTATTCCACAATAGCTATGAAAGCTGCGGAAAAGGGAAAGAGGTGGAACGCGCTTGCTATAAAAGTAAGATAATTAAAAATTTTGTTCAAAAAATTTTTACGTAACTTATACTTGTTTATACAATCTACTATTTCGAGAATGCTCTCGCCAACGTCCATACCATGTTGAATACACCGGTTCTCGTCCGATCACCGAAGTTAAGCAACATCGGGCGCGGTCAGTACTTGGATGGGTGACCGCCTGGGAACACCGCGTGATGTTGGCTTTTTGAATTTTTTATTTTTTTGCCTATACTAAGTAGAAAAACAGTTTGTTTTCTTGTAAAATATAAAATTATGATAATTGGTTTATTCTCTTTGCATTGTCTTGCAGATATTAGAGTACGAAACGCATAGTAAACTTCAAGTTCCTTTACTGCTGTCGTTGGAGAAAGGTGAGATTGCTTTGTCGAAGGCTACTGCCAGTGGAGACACAGACTTGGTGTACATTGTACTACTTCACCTCAAGGAGAAGATGAGCAAACACCAATTTCAGGTACCACTATTCACGGAGACATCAATGACAAACTCAGTGAAACCTAAAATTATTTCAACTATTTTCACGTCTACTACGCCAACAGCATAGCTATCACTTCTCTACTAATTGTGCTATCGTGTTTCTTCCTTTGTATGCTTTATGGGAAATATAAAAATATCAAAGAAAGTCCAATTTTATATTTCCAGGTAACAATCCGCACTACACCATTTGCGCACGCGCTGTACTTGAAGTATTGCGCGAGTCACAACCGCGAGGCGTTACGTCAGGTTTACGTGCAAGAAGACGATTTCCACGGCCAAGCCAGTACACACATCCGCGACGCGATTGAAGAAACCAACCCCGGGAGCATTGAGGCGTCACTCATTTCAGCCAGGGAATGTTACAAGAAGGGCAAAAATGATTTAGGTAACTATTTAAATCTTTTTTTGATTTCATTATATAAAATATAAATATATTTTCAAAATCGGCACCTCAATACACAATGCCCTAAGTTAGACCATTACCGATAAAGGAAATACCTGCCAGCGCCGCGATACTGTGTTTTGCAATGAAACTATAGGCATCGGTTAATGCAAACATCATCTTTAAAAACAAAATAATTGAAAATACTATATTTTACTAAATGAATTTGATATAACTCCAAAAGATTTATTACACGAATAACATTTATTCTATAAATAAGATTATTTCAGTTTCGTTTCAGTAGGAGGTTACAAAAACTGTCAATAGATGGTGCCACTAGTTTTAATAGTCATTCAATAAACATTTAATAAATTTAATTTGAGTTACAATCATATTTAGATTTATATTTTACTTTGAACATACAACAATAATTATTTAAAAAATATTAAACATTAAATTACGAATCAAAAGTTTTCCAAATAGTATTTTATTAACTGTTTATTTGGAATCTCCCCGTGACCATGGCTGCTGTAAAGCATCCGAAACATCGTGCCGTAATTAAAATAAGTTAAACCAATATATATCGCGTTTTAAACCGTTAAGGTGTTTTATTTAAACGTGTATTAAACGCGCTTAAATGTGTACTAACTAGCGTTAACTACAGGCAATATTTAATTATAAATGTTTTTTATGATCTATTTTTATAATCATATAATTATTAGATACTGATTGGAGCCTATATATAAAATTGAAGTTATTTGAACGACTTTAATTTTGTGCCTTAGGAGCATCAATATGCGAGGATGCGAGAAAGCTCTGCAAGCAGCAGTCGAGCCTCCAAGAAACTTATGGTACGAGCTTCGTTGGCTTGTCCCTGCATGATACAGTTGGAAAGTTGCTGGAACAGGGCGAGATCAAATTGGCCGATAAATTACGTTCAGAGTATGAGATGCCTGATAGAAGGTACAACTGTTTCTGACATTATTCTGTGGCCGCAGTTTCATCTGCGTAATTACTTTAAATTAATATTCCGAAGTGTGAATGAAATATAAATTAAAATTTCGCAATGTCTCGCTAAATATTATCTTTGTTAAAGATACTGGTGGCTAAGAATACTAAAGCTGGCCGAAAAAGACAAGTGGGACGAATTAGAAAAGTTCTCCAAATCTAAGAAGTCGCCGATCGGTTTCGAGCCCTTTGTCGACGCGTGCTTAACTCGCGGTCAAAACGACGAAGCCTTGAAATACCTACCTCGCTGTAGAGACGATATTAAAGTGAAATATTACGTAAAAGCTGGGTAAGTTTTTTTTTTACTTTTGAACCAGTCAAGAATGTTTTGTATGCTTACACTAATACATAACCTGTTTATAAGACTTATAAAATTATTAATGTTCACTTTACGGATTGATGGTTTTCAATTAAAAAAAACAACGATTATTTTTTATTCATTATAAAACATCATCAACGGCTTAGTTTGTTCTCAACGTTTGCTACCATTCTGATCACCAACCATATGATAGGTAGATAGAATTATGTCAATTAGTGTTATTCAAAACTTGAATTATGTTTTTATTTCACCAAATTAAAAATATATATATATTCCAGGTTCTATGAAGAAGCCGCTCAGGTTGCTTTCAACCAAAAGGACCAGAGCGCTCTCTTCTTTGTCCAAAACAAATGTCCTGTTCAGGAAACCACCAAGCACGCCAAAATATCAGCTCTATTAGAACAATTGACATCTAGAAAGTAGTTATGTATTATTAAGTTGTATTGATATGATTTACACCCATGTATTGAACACCAAATAAACATTTAATATATAAAGCATGTTTTAATCATATAATTAGTGTTTCAAACATTTACTTTAATAAATAAAAAGAGTTATTGAATAATTATAGAATGTACATGTTAAAAGGCACCAAAAGGTTCTCGTATGTTGCCTATAGATGACGTTTTAAATCATTGAAAAGTATTTTACTAAGCATATACGTATATATTTTTGTTTTTTTCCTAATTAATAATAACGACCGCATCACAGGAGAAGAACAAATTATTTTCTTGCTTAAAGTCCAGCAAAATATACCAAATACAAAGAAAAATTTACAGCACACACATATTTATATAAATAAAACTAATTTTAATTTGAAAATGTATTTATTACTCTGTAAGTATACATAGATATATGCAAGGACAGTCTTATGACACAGCGATGTAAATTATCCACAGATAAATTGAAATATTTTAGGAAGTTATCTTCACAACCGCACAAATCAATTATGAACATAAGTACGGCAGCACTGTAATATCTGTCTCTGTCACTCTCAAACAGGAAGCATCTTGGTCTCCTACTCATACACAGCAAGTATACCACAAATAAATACTCAATAATGTTCTTTTTAGGACTTCCGCAATTTGCTGATGCCATTCTTTTTTTATTACATTACGTTGCGGAGGCTGTAACTTATTTTTAATATTTCTAACTTTTGACATGCTTCAAAAGCAAATACTCTTCAGACTCCAGACTAGACAAAAGCGAAGGCTTTCATAGACAATATTCAATAAGCCGCCTACAATCGCCAACAGATGGAACTTTCGTGGTTTGTAACGTCTAACAATTTTCTAGCAATTAGATTGCTTCATTGGCTTAACAAGTAGTCTAAATAAACTCGACACCACTGCAAACCTCTAGCTAAAGTGAGACAATATAGTATCTTTAATACATTAAAACTATGCGAACGATAATTTTTATCCACACAGAGAGTGGACTTAACAAATGCCTAAAATTTCATTGTTGACTGTTATAAACTTGAACGGATGTTACTTCCATTTGATGAGAATAATAAATTTAAAACAATATCAAAGTGTAGAGATTTGCAGCATAAAATAAAATTATTTATGTTTTTGAGATAGAAAAACTCCTTTACCCAATGCCCACGTTCGACGCTCACGTACGCATCACACTTAATAAATAATATAATTAACACACAAATGAGCTTTTAATGTCTTTCGAGTCTTACAAATAACAACAAAATGAATGATACAAAAAAAAACAATCAGTCTCAATGATACAATGGTAACTAAATAGTTTAGTATTTTTGTCTAATGCCTTCTAAAATACAAACTGAACGAGGACATATAAATATTACCAAATTAGAAATTACTATTTAAACCTTCAATTTATATACTTTGTATTATAATTGTAGCATTAAATATATCTTATTAAATTAAAAATTATTTTAAGAGCGTTTATAAAGGAAATGTTTTTAAATAATTAGTATCTTTATAGTAACAGGTGTTATAAAGTAGGACAACGGCTTAAAAAAATACCACACTCTTTGGTACTTGAACATAAAACGATAAACAAACATTTTCTGAAATCTACCTACCTCTTACCGCCGACCAATTCTCTATCTACCTTCAGAATAATAGCACCTCAACATTCGAAAAACCTATGTAACAATTTAGCTCCGGTTAATAGTGTTTGAATATTTTAGGACAGTGCCTAAAGAAGATATTTGAAATTAAAAAGGCACAATCACACATAAATAGTATTACATCTATATTACTTTAAGAAATCTGTTTTCTGGTAAGTTTTAGTGAAATAAAGTGAGAAAGCCCAAAGACCATAAATTAGAAATTTGTTAACAAAGTTTGCTAACCCCATTAAGCCATCAACATAAAACAAAATTTCCTATCATAAATAACTTCTTGACTCAAAAGCAGCGTCTTCACCAGGCAAAAACAAGAGCACATCTTAAACACAATAAATTAAATAAATAAATAGGAATCTATGCTACCGAACATTCCGTTGACAAGTACGAGATTTCAAAACTAATCAATATAACTCTAGGTGTAGAATAGGCGAAAATGTAAGCTTTGCTCAATGAATTCATTGGTCGAGAAAATGTAAAATATTCGACCAATACAATCGAGGGAATCACGCGCCGATTCCTTCTTATAATCTTAACTCCCCAATCAAACTTACTCTCCATATAATCCACAATAATCAGCCTTATTTCCTATTTAAAACTATGTAGGTATTAGGTATACGCTTACAAGCTTTTTTTGTTGTTTTTTTCTATAAATATTATCACATTTAAGAGTATATCTATAATCCTATATGATATTAAGATCGAATACGGTTTCCTAACATATACGGTCGAATTTTGCAGACTAGCAACTAATTCGGCCAGCAATGAGGTACGCCAAACGTTCCGCGACTTTTGGATGCAACAACAACAACGAACAGTAGCTAGTCTGACCAAGGAAAGAGCCACAAAAATCATGTTAAATGTAACTCTTTATCTCTCCATTCGACCACTAGAAACTAAGACGATAATTAAAGCATTTTTCAGCATGGTAACACAATGGTAAATGGTTAAATTTTGTGTTTTTTTGTTTTTATTTTTTTTGTAATGTTTCTTTACTTATAATTTGCAACACCGCACACATCAGATTAAAATGCATTTACCATTACGCTTTCTACCCTGTCGAAATGGATGTGATTTTTTTTAATACGAAAAATATACTTTTTTAAAGTAATTAGCGATTCGTTCGCCGATCCATAACGCTTTGGTAACAAACAAATAAATTTATAATCACAGCAAAATAACAAAAAATACTAATTTAAATTACACTAAAGTAACTTTGCGTAAACGCGGCGAGTTCAACTAAATAATGAATATTAGGTGAATCAGACCGTTTAATATAAACTGAAAAGGAAATATAATTAATAATTATAGCCTAGAAATATAAACTTTATGGTTGTGGAAATTATATTTACAACTTTTTAACTTTATATGGGTAGATAAAATGTAAAATTCTATTTAAATGAACATTACTGCTTTTCGCATATGTATTCAATTTATGTCAATCGTTCTGATTCACGATACGAACATAGTGACCAAGTACTCAATCCTCAAAGGCAATAGCAAAAACACGCGCGCAGTCACCTCACAATCTATTCTATGAATTGGTCACTTTAGGAACTCCTGAACATTAACCCCTGTGTTCGCTGACATTAGAAATTTCGCTATGGTAGGCCAAATCCTGCGAGGTGACAGTCACTTTCGGCGCTCTTTCGAACTTTATTTTATCTATGGGGATCGAACCGGCCGAATTGGAAGCTAAGAGGACCGAATGCCTAATCTTATTGGCGCTAATAACATTTAAATTAGTAAGGTTATGTTTCGGTATAGTGAATGAGGGTAGATCCTTGGTTTTTATGCTGTCGTAGATTCGTACTAACTTATTCGTGTCTATGTTGTCTATGATGTTCAACTGTCGTTGGGCCGGTGAGGCTGTGACGACGAGGCCCGGCATTTTGACGTGCACCCGCTCGGAGGATGTCGAAGCGGTTACGTGGTGTGATATGGAGTGGTTTTTAAGACCTTGAGCCGTTTTGTAACTTTTGCCGCAGTGGCATTTGTAGGCCTTTTTTACCCTGGAAACAATGTCAAACAAGTTAATAAAGTGTGTGAAAAACTATTTGACAAACTCAGAAACTGATTAAAATGTCAAATTAAAAGAAATGAAGGGGACCCCTCTTAGGTTCCCTTCTCTTAGGTTCACATTATTTGCAAAAAACAAGTATTGTCGTTGAAAAGTTTGTCACATCTTAAAAAGTTTGGTCCGGTATTATATGTATATGTATACGCCACTACTATACAGAATACTCAAACTTGTTACTAGATTTCCGAAAAAACTAAATATAACCAAATACTGTCTATAGTTTACGCGAGTAGTACATATTTATATAAAACACTAACGGTTTAAAACGCGATATATTAGTTAAACTTAGTTGGTCACCCATGGCTGCTGCAAAGCATCCGACACGTCAGGCCAAAATTAAAAATCATTTCCAAATCAGTTTAGTATATCGCGTTTCAAACCGTTTAAGTGTTTTATTTAAATATAACCAGATCAATTTATCTAAGCAAATTTTCCACTCCATACAAATTTTACTTCAAACAGATTAACGAGGAATATAACTAACGGTAACATGTTACGGCTTATAAACTTAGAACTCTCAGTCATTACAGACAACGCAATGTATCTAACTACTTTTTAAGGAACAGTGTTGCATTTTGTTAGTACCATTCAGGATGCGAGGTCAGGGCCCTGGCAAAAATATGACCAAGAGTCAAATATCAGTCATTTCGGAAAGGAAGGTGTCAGATTCTAAATCTTTGTTTCTAATTGCGTAAATATTTATTCGTATACAATACTTTGTCTATCAAACTAAAGTCTATAAAACACTTTTGTGTGATACCCATTTCTTCCAGAAATATTCCTGGGCAGTCAAGCGTTTTTTGGGTCCAGGTGCTTTCGGTTTATAATGATCTTGGGGAGGTGGCACGGGATATCTTTTGAGAGAAATATATTTATGACTAAGGAAGCTCTGTTGTGCTCCTGTATGCAAACCATCAACGATAAAAGTGTTCAGTCTGATATAGTAAAAAAGGTCTAATCTCTTTTTTGTAACTTTGTTTTTTTTTTTACACTAGGTACATTTTCAAAGAACTATGTGATTAATATAACCCCCTAGATATTGTTGGAAACAGCATAAACACGTCTTCTATCGAATTTCAATAAGGAACATAAATAATACTCACTTTCCGTCCTTCTTGTGACCATTCTTGGAGTGGTATTTGATACCGTTAACATTTTTGTACCGTTTCTTGCAACCTGGCACTGGACACGCAAAAGGCTTCTCTTGGGCGGCTGGACCAAGGGCCCCAGAAGTTGCGCTTGCGTTCATTCTATGAAAATACAGGCTTTTAAAATAAAACACTTTAACCCGTGGTCACGGGGAGACTGGTCTCGACTGGACACGTCTCCCCGTGACCACGGCTACTGCAAAGCATCCGAAACGTCGGGCCGAAGATAAAAATCATTTTCAAATAAGTTTAACTAATATATCGCGTTTTAAACCGTTAAAGTGTTTTATTTAAATGTGTACTACTCGTGTAAACTATAGATAGTATCTAATACAGGGTTTGTTAATATTAAAGCCTTAAAGTAAAGATGAAATGTAAAGGGTTCTTTTTCAATCGTTACAACATACTCAAAGAGTAATATTTATCTCATACTGTTTCCATATTTTTTACTACAACATTTGAATAGTGAGTAGAGTAGAGTAGTAGAGTAATAACTAGTAGAACTAATGTTGTGTCAAATGACACCCAAAAAAAGTACATATTTTATATGCCTCCATTCATCGAATAATACTTTTACCAGTTTGAAATAATACTTCTAGTAATAGATTTAACGTTTCAGTTTCATGCGAAGCATGTCGAAAATAGGAGCCGTTAAAAAAAAAACAAATATTTAAATGAAACATTGATTGGTACGTACTTGACACCATACTGAAGAATGTATTCTGAGCTATATTCCTCGACGTTGGTCCAGGAATCGTTGCTGTCTTCAGACGGACTCATCACTTCTTCGTCGTCCATTTCACTACCTGGAAGGACATAGTGTAAAAATCTATTTCACCTAACAAAAACTGTGAAGGCTTCTTAAAGATAGACTTTTATAAAAAGTATTTTTTATTTTACATATAACTATTTTACTGCAAATTAGGAAAGTTTATTTCAACACTTAGATAAGCAATTAAATAAAATTAAAAAAATACGGATACTAAGTACCTAGGAATTTTGTTTTATAACATTAGAGTAGAGGAGAAATAAACCAGCCAGAACAACGGCGAAACGAGGCGCATTGTCAACCTATTTCGGCTTTGGACTTTCGGAAGTCCACTATACCAGATTTTCAAAGTCCAATGTTTTTCACATAGCATACGAATTGACTCTCGTGACGTATCAGCGGGAATCGAACCCACTATCTGTTCATTATTATTAGCCATAATTGCTACCATTGCACCAACTAAATCCTACTAACAAAACTCTAAAACCTATGCTAACTCTAATAAGTTGGATGCCAATTAGACCAGCAAAATAAACAGTTACTATAGTGGCGTTAATCAATGAACCATAAAGTAAGTGTATAATGTCTTAATAATGTTTACTTGTCCTTAAAGTATCTAAATACTATATATATATAAAAAAAAAAAAAAATATATATATATATATATATATGTTTAAATTTAGTACTAGTATGGTCAACCGCATCCATATAATTATAACAGCATTAAAAATAGATAAAGGCGCTCTAATGCGGGTTTCATTGTGTTATGAATCTCGTAAATGTTACGTTACGCATTACGTAAGTATTTTGGTTCTAAGTCCGTATAAACTATGAAGACTATAAACAGATTATATTGCAGACCCACGAAAAATCTAGATAAAATAAAACAACGTACTGTATTAACGATCTAAGTGCAATAACCTGTAGGTGTACTGCTGCGCACTGATGGGGTGTTTGGCGTGGAAAGAAGCCTCTTCCGAACATCGGCGACCGGCGCCATTTGAAACTCCCGCCGCGATGCCTCGGTGAAAAATTTTAAAACGTAACTTAATGGAATGCATGATGGCTGCGAAGCTTCTTTTTGTTCCACGACAGCTGGATCGTAATCTGAAAGAGAATAATTACACTGTTTTAATACTGCACCACACGTAAAATGTCATCAAAGCGAGATCAGCTGTTCTCTGTTTACAAAAACACAATCACAGTTTCTATCATTAGAGCCTCATAAATACCTTTAATTAGAGTTGGAGTATACTGAACTTTACAATGTAGATACAATTAATTAAAATCTAAAAATAAACATTTTAAAATAAATCTAAACACGAATTTCCCGCAATTTGAGTTCACACATTATATACTTTTATGTTGGTACTTTGACGTATTGATAAGACGTATCAAGGGAGGGGTCACCGTTTATATATTCTTACTGAAATCAAGCCTAGGGCAAATTATTATGAAAAATAAATAATATTTACCTATGTGTACATCTTCGATGTGTTCTATGAGGTCTGCCAGGCGTGGAAAAGTTATACCACAACCATTGAATTTACAGATGTTAATCATAAAGACGGCCATGTCGAATTGAGTACATAAGTCACTAGTCAAATTAGCTTCCGTAATCCTATAACGTCATGAAAATAAAAAATATTGTGCTTTAATTTTACAGTGCAAGCTTTTTGAAGTCTGTATACAGATTTAATTATTTAAGAAATGAATAAAATAATTTTGTATAATAGAAGAAATCATGCGACCAATATATGTATTTTTAAAAGTATGTTATATAAATGTCATCTGCGCAGATCAATAAAGTTGTCTGATTGGAGACGAGGCTTTGCAGACTGCGCAAGTCTACCAATGACAAGACAGATTGTATAATCTGTAACTTCACCACTCAGAATTTGAACATTCCAAAGGCCGGTCTCCTCCTTCTCGGTGTTCTTTGGTAAGTGTCGTAGAGAATTGTGAATTCAGCAATCGTGAAAAAGTGACAAAATCCTAGATCGCTATTAAATAGAAAGTGTTAAAATCGTTTAATTAATTCGTGGTGTGCGTGTTGGTGCAAATATTTGTCAGTGATTTTGTAAGTTAACTTTGCGGATACAATTCTGTCGGTGTATATCGGCCTATCGGCCATTTTCCGCTATTCAGAATTACCTGACATTTATCGCTCTTAAACGTTACTAATACTTCTTTCTCTTCATTATTCATTGAATAAACGGTAGCGCCAGGATAATTTTACACATAATAGATAGATACGGCTCGTAGTTACGTAGTCGCGTAAATTACGTAACGCTCTGCGGTCAATCTGACAAAACCTTAAACTTGCCATTAATCAAGTGGATCTCAGCTAGATAGACAGTAGCTTTTAACTTTATAAAATTAATTTATTTCAGTTATCGATCGCCGCACCCAAACTTAACACAAAAATGTTGTCTGCTGCCAGATTGATCGCCCCTGCAGCCAGGTCTGCTGTAAGTATTATCCAGTTGATAATTTAATTTGATTCTTATTTGAAAGTATTGATATTATTGTTGCAATCAATGTCTGAATAGAATAAAATAATAGTCCTTATCTTCCTAATGAACTATTTGGTGCTACAAGTTACCTAATTGATACTGATCCCTTATTCCCTAATGTTAATTTCTAATAAAGAAGTACATTACTGTTTTACAACACGAAAATGGGAGTTGCCGATGCAGTAGTACAACAGTTGTTATATAACAACATAATTAGGTTTTAAGTGATTTTTGAAGGTTATTTTTCACTTCTACATACTTTTCAGAACTATAGGTTTACTTAAAGAGTGCTTTACTTACACTTAAGTTACTTTAAGGAATTGCAGGTTTTAAATGTTTGGTATAGTTACCCTACTTGAATAAACAGTTTAATACAAAATTAAACCATGTTGAAATATTAAATTGTGATTGTCTGTAGATCTAACTAGGTCCTTAGATTAACATTAAGATTTTTTAATACATATTTCAGATCTTCAGCAACACAGCCCTTGTGAGGCCACTTGCAGCAGTCCCCACACAAACACAAATTGTGCCCGCTGCCCCTGCTCAGCTTTCAGCAGTGCGCACCTTCCAGACCACATCGGTCACAAAAGACATTGACTCAGCTGCCAAATTTATTGGTGCTGGTGCGGCGACAGTAGGAGTAGCTGGCTCTGGTAAGAAAATTATTAACTACCCAATGTGGCACTGCATGCTTTTGGGCCCTCCAAATAATGGCAATAATGTTTTAACTCTACACACTAGCTTTAAGGTGCTTTAACACTTATTAATTTTTATATAACACTTACATAATTGCATCAGATTTGCTTGGGTTGTCTTTTTAGTTCATGTTAATTGTATTAAAAATATCTAAATTAGTTTTCCTAATATCACAGTCATTGCTAATTTGTGCTTTTCTCCAGGTATTGGTATTGGTGTGGTGTTTGGATGCTTAATCATTGGATATGCACGTAATCCCTCCCTGAAGCAACAAATATTCTCATATGCCATTCTAGGATTTGCACTCTCTGAGGCTATGGGACTATTTTGTTTGATGATCGCCTTTCTAATGCTATTTGCTTTTTAGAAGATGCTTTAATAATTGTTCTTTTTAAGTATTTTTGTACAGTGTATATTGTGAATGTTTGGAACTATATTTGGTGCATGTCTTGTCCAAAACACTACCATTAATGGCCACTAAGGTGAGGGTACTGAGTTTGTTGTAGTTAGTGTGCTATCTGTATGTTAGTTAAATACCTATTTATAATATATTATCTTAGCAAAAGTTAATGAGATTGTGCGTTACAGGTGCGGGTATCGGAACAGTGTTCGGTTCCCTGATCATCGGTTACGCCAGGAACCCATCTCTGAAGCAGCAGTTGTTCTCATACGCTATCTTGGGTTTCGCCCTGTCCGAGGCTATGGGTCTCTTCTGTCTTATGATGGCGTTCTTGCTGCTCTTCGCTTTCTAAACAAATTACTTTTAAGAACACTACTACTGCCATCCTAAAGAGGTTTCAGTGTATAAAATCTGGAGTGGACGGCCGTGGAATGGAATGTGTGAAACCTCACCCTCATAGTGGTGTAAGGACATTATTACGTGTAAATGTGTTACACACCAGTGTTTCATCAGGAATGCAATTTATTTAATTATGTAGTATAAAAATCTGCTAATAAAACGTTGGACGTAAACATTCAGTTATTCCTACACCTGGTTTATATGTAGACTGTTAATCATGTTAAATCTATCCCAGTATAATGATGTGCGATGGTGATGATTTGAAGCCAGTTACCACTTTGTGTGTGTATTGTCATCGTCTGTATGTTGTTATGCTTTTCGGGAATGTCAGCATCTGTATTGTACATTTTTAGGGCGATTAAATGATACCAAACAATTTAATTGAAAATTTTTTACTTACCTTTTTATTTTGTTTTGAATTACCCTCCGTGAACAAATCGATCAAGAAAGGAAATATAAGATGCTGTCATAATCTATTAGTGTTGAAGGTAATTAACATCCTAAAAGCTCGTAACTTCATACTGATGTACCTATATAGAATATACACATACATATCCATTGATAAAACCTAATCACTAAAGGGACAGGAAGAAAATAGAACTGGGAATAACTGCCAAAAAATCCCATGAATTAGATTACGTAATCATGTTTGCTTACTACAACGTCGTCTCGTGACAGCCACATGTGATTTGGCTTTTAACCAAAATAAGACCAATACCTATATGAAAAAAATAAGGGTAATTTTATCTAGACATTAAATGGATCTTGGAAACATCTAGTCCTGTCACGATCAAAGAACATGAAAAAGCTATATAGTGTAAACTAAATCCGTTTCTGTCTGGTTTTTTAATGTGCCAAGCCAAAGTAGGTCGATAGCGGTCCTCAAATAAAAACCGTGTTTCACAAGCCCTTATTGCATTGAAGGGCTCATTCAAAAAAAAAATATCGGGGGCGCCCCCCCCCCCCCCCTTTTTTTTTCCAAATTTTTAAAACCTTAAAAAAAAAAAAAAAAAGGGGGGGGGGAAAAAAAAAAAAATCCCCCCAACATTATATCCCCTCTCAAAAAAAAATAATATCAAATCAGAAAGAGACGTATGTTTCTTCAACAATTTTTATTGCAAAAAGTTAGACACCCGAGCGCGTACCTCCGATTCAGACGATACAACAACACAGGAGGCACAGGGCTTTCGCTTCTTAGGTACACAGCCGGGAGATACGCGCTAAGATTATACAATTACTTGTTCACTTATTCCTAAAACAGTTTCAGGCATTCTGAATGCGTTTAATTTAGAATTTATACAAAATATATTGGTTGGGATTCTTTAAATAAAAAATGAACACAAACATAATTGGCGAACTTAAGAAATTCCCTAGTCTTAATTTAAAATCCCTCTCACACATCGCACACGCAAACGACTCGTATAAACATGTAAATATATTGTAATCTTTTATAATAGACAATGTCCTTTTCATTTATTTGGTGTTCAGTTATTTATGTATCACTTATCATTACACTTGTACATAATTTTAAAGGTTTAACTACTTAAAAATAAGTTTTAACTATCGTGGAATCACTGACATGATTCTAGTGTATATGAAGTGGGTCGTGCGTTAATAAACAAACAATTTAAATGTATAGGATCGTTAATATTTTAAATCATGATTCAACAAGATTCTTAACAGTAAACTTATTTAGACCTCTATCTCAGGCTGAATCTGTGGGGTCATGTATGTTCCATCTGCATCCAAATTATTGGCCCAAATATTTATTTGACATTTAAGCTGCCCGGTTAACTCTCAAACCCGCATAGTTGAACTACTGATTAAATATTGCGTTTATTATTTAAATAAAACACTTTAACGGTTTCAAAAGCGATATATTAGTTTAACTTATTTGAAAATGATTTTTAACTTCGGCCCGACGTTTTAAACCGTTAAAGTGTTTTATTTAAATGTGTACTACTCGCGTAAACTATCTATAGTTAATCAGTATTGCGTTTATTAATATAACCCCACATAACCAGCATACATAATTTCGTTCCTAGCGTAAGGAATAAACTATTGTCATAAGTGAAGCTATAAAACAATGTAAACATCATTACCATAATCTTGATTTAACCTACAGCAAAACAAAATAAGGCAATTTACTACCTGTCTAACCAACAAATTACCTCGCTCGTTCGAGTCCACAGAAACTAATTCAAAGGAAAGTCCACTTTAGCCCGCGTTTACGTTTACTTGAATACTTTAAAATATAGCTCCTAATTCCGAAATTGACGATATGTAATATGACGAATTTTTAAATAAGACAATCCGACCAAACCTAACTGGATAAAGTAGACTTCACTTCCATGTTGCAATCCAATACTGAGATCAACATTTGTCTATTAATTTTGGTCCAAAATGTAGTTTCTATGAATTCGAGGACATTTCGGCTCACGAGTCTTCTATACATGCGCGTATTTATTACGTTAGTTATACCTTCTGTATATAGGTTAGCTTTTTTACCAGTGACCATTATAGGAATCGGCTATGAGTTATTAACATATTTGGGTAGGTTGAAATATCAAATTTAATGCAAAAAATAAGTTATTTCTTCTCTTTAGTGCCAACTGATAGAATGATTATGTATAAAAAATCTCGCCTATACTATACCTAATACTTTTACGTCGCTATTAACTTATAGCGCATCCGTTTCAAACTGGTCTCCTCTGCTGATAATGATAGGTCCGTAGCTCTCGCTCTGTTCCAGCTTCAGCACTTGATGCTTCTTCAGTACGAGTAAACTGTAGAACTTTTGTGCCACCTACGGAAAGGAATAGACAAATTATGACATATGCCACAAAAAATCTTATTTACTGTTTCAGGGCCTATTTTAGTTTCCTGGAAGATTGAAAACTTAATCATTTGAATCCTTTAATATTTTTTACATGTTATTGCACATGAAGGCATTAATACGTGCTGTTGCTCTCGGATTCGGTAGCTCAATTGGTAGAGGAACAGCACGGAACGCTGATGATGCCGGTTCAAGTCCTGCCCAAGTCGAATTTTTTTCTCAATTTATTTTCCATTTTTGAACTTAATCATATTTACCCTGGATTTGAAAGCGAGACTGTGTTCTCACGAAAAGAGGACTTTCCATTTGAAAATATAAATTGCTTTCCAATATAAGTAGACGTTAAACAAGACACGTTTCAGCATGATGTATATAACGTTAGTTACATTAAAGCTGACTGTTTTTAGGATTAAAGTGAACATGAAAGGTTGTTCTGGTTTTTCGTTCACCAGGGGTCATAAAAATATATAAATACTCGCATTTCAAACATAAGTATAGTGCATTTTTTGTCTTTTCAACTTGTCGTTGTGGTAAACATAGACAATAATTGATATTAAATCGTAAGCAAAGTCAACAACAATAGAAGGTAAAACTCCCACTTATGCACGATCGCTGAAAAGCGTTACTAACGTCGAGTTAAATAATGATAAAAAAGATCGTCATAAGTGATTTTGAATATTGAGTTCTTGTGGTCCATATAATAATTTCTGTCATCTGTGACAACAACTTCACTCTATAAAAGACCATTACTAGTTCTCTTTGACACTTTAATTTAAAACGCGATATATTAGTTTAACTTATTTGAGAATTATTTTTAACTTCGGCCCAACGTTTCGATGCTTTGCAGCGACCGTGGTCACGGGGAGACTGAAAAAATCATTTTCAAATAGGTTTAACTAACATATCGCATTTTAAACCGTGAAAGTGTTGTATTTAAATCTATACTACTCGCGTAAACTATAGACAGTATTTAGTTCACTTTGGTTTAAAATCGGCCTTGTTTAAATGTTGGGTCTTTTGCCAAAAATCATAGATGCCTACCTGTTTCCTGGTGTTGTGCCTGGGCGCCAGGTCGACGAAGGTGATGCTTGGTTCTGCTAGGAGCTTGGGCTTCATGAGCGAGAACAGTTGCGCCGCTCGCCGGTTCAACACGCGCTCTTCGAACTGCTCGTCTGTCTCGCCAGCTTCGCGCCACTCGCTATCTCTACCCTCTTCCGGCTGGAACATTATACATAGTTATTTATTAACAAAGCAAAATGTGGTAACGATTGAAGATGAGTTGTTTTTCGTACTAGCATACAGATGCAGATTATTTTTATTTCTTCTCGCTCACAAACTGTTTTGCAAATGATTTGTTCTATTGACTGCTCATGACCTGAAATTGACATTATACCGACATCCTTTAGTACATTGTAATATAGACATCTACTGGCCAGATGCGAGTTCGAAACGTTTACCAAACACATGACGTTTTAAAGCCATACTTACATTCTCTACACTCAAAGGTAAATCGTAGTCATGCTGCGGACTCTGCTGGCCATGCTGATCATCGTATCCTAGGTTAGTCATGGGCAAACCATTCTGAAAGTGAAAAAAAAAGCAATAAGCAATCTACCCATAGATATACATTTTTTTTAACAAGAACAATTGTTATTCACAAACAACAGACAGCAAAGTTTTTGAAATAATACATCTAATAACTATTACAAAATGAAATTAAGAATTTACCACGAGAGCGAGAGCTACTATGATGCCTGTTTGTAAAAATGTGTACCTGGTAGTCATTTCGATGCATCGATTGCAGGTGGTCAGCTGTGGCCAGGAGGGGATTGTGGGAGCCACCTTGGGGCATCATCGGTAAATCAGAGTTCGGGTGTAGAAGACCACTATGTTGTACACCTAGAGAGATCATTAAAAAAAACTTTTAATACGTTTCTAATTCGCCTTTGATCTATGAAACAGCCAAATCATATTTTGGATGTTTCATTTTTAGACAGAAATAGACAATAGAGAAAACTAATACTACAGTTTAGATAAAGAAGAGTTGTGGTAGCCTCATTCAGAAACATCTATCAAATTAAAACATAATTCAGTTTCTTAAATTGAATAAACAAAATAATACTTACGTGTAGGCGTCATTCCACCGTGTCTCAAATCTGAGGGCGTCATGCCACCGTGAACCAACCCTGCTGGCGTCATCCCACCGTGCGCCAAACCTCCCGGTGTCATTCCTCCGTGCGTTAAGCCAGCTGGCGTCATACCGCCGTGTCCCAATCCTGCTGGCGTCATACCACCGTGACCCAAGCCTGCAGGGGTCATACCGCCATGACCCAAGCCAGCTGGGGTCATGCCGCCGTGACCTAATCCTGCTGGGGTCATACCGCCGTGTTGAAGCCCAGCTGGTGTCATTCCACCGTGGTCGAGGCCACCTAAGGGGTTTAAAGGTAAATAATAGAAATTTATATAATATACACAAATAATAAAACACATTTTAGTGATTGCTTTAAATAAATACTATATATATACCTGGTGTCATTCCACCATGATGCAACCCAGCTGGTGTCAATCCTCCGTGCACTAATCCTCCGGGTGTCATTCCGCTGTCTAATCCTAATCCTGGTGTCATACCGCCCGGCGTCATGCCTAAATAATAAAAAAAACAATGACCACTTTACGTAACCAATTGTGAAAAAGTATTTATTTTATTCTCTGCGTGGTACACTCTGAGAAAAAGACATAAATAACAAAGATATGAGACACTAAAATATCTATAATAAAATGTATAGTCTAGTCTATAAAATATAAAAAAATGGCGTTGGCTGGGGGCCACTTATACAGTATAAACATTGTTCAGAATTTAGCAATTAATTAAAAAATTTCGCTCGAACTCACCACCGTGGTGCAGAGCTGAGGGTGTCATACCACTGGAAGCGAGACCAAGGTCCAAGGGCTGATTATCTCCATGATGAAGACCGGCAGGTGTCATTCCACCATGGGTGAGACCGCCTATGAATAAAAAAAACATTAAAAAGAAATCAATTTTCATTCATTAGTTTTAACTTTAAAAATTGTTTTTTGGTTCATAAACTAAGCAGGTTGAAATTACCAGGTGTCAAAGCGCCATGTGGCAGCGCACCAGGCGTAATGCCGCCCTGCAACAGCGTTCCAGGAGTCAACGATCCCAGCACTCCTGGTGTCAAAGGTGCACCCAAGCTGCTTAGCATACCTGCAAACATTTTCATGGTACTTAAAACAACATTATGAGGAAAATTTACATTACTTGTTTCTACTGAGCACTTATGATATTACAGTTCAAATTTAAACATGCAAATATGTTTATATTTGAATCTTTGTAAAGCCTTTTGTAATCTTTGTAATTCAATGTAAAGATTCTTTAATTTTGTGACGTTCATACCTACATAAATAAATGGTTTTTGACTTTGACTTTGTAATTCCCACATGGACAAAACTGCATGAATTACTTTTACAATTTGGTGATTCCGAAGCTATACTCTGCAATACTTTTTTTAAACTTGTATCGTATCTGACTTACTTAGGATCCACCATGACATGATAATATATTAGGAGAAAAAAGAGGTAAATAATTTAGTAGCAAGAGCCAAGGCAGGTCAATAAAGCTGTGGAAGACATCACGTACCTGGCGTGTGAGGGCCTTCATCATCGGACCTCGGCGACTGGTAACCGGGCGTGAGTTCAGGTAGGCGTTCCGATTCTATCCGGGCCGCGCATCAAAATCGTGGTTAATGGAAATGTGCACTTAGATATAGCGGATGGAGTTTATCGGTATATATTTTATATATACAAACAGTTAGATACTTTTTTAATGTTTAGGGACTGTCAGATGGACAAGTGTCAAACCAACTTAAGTTATTTCTTTAGGATTCGACAACTATAAGAAAATTTACTAAGAAATATCGCATAAAAGCACATGAAATATTTTCTCAGATTAATAAACGGATAAATAGAGCCGATAATTTAATTATATATCAACAACCGGTTTTTAAATATAAAAACTACCGATAAACTTCCTCCATTAACCGTAACAAAGCAGTATGAATTTACGGTTTATAGTTAACGATAGACAAGTGGAATTAGTCCATGATACAAATAGATGTTACTTGCATGAAGGTAAAGAGACCAGTGTGAATCAAGTACTGGTTGAAACTGACATTTTGTGTAGCAGTAAAGTTAAAAATATACATTGTTATGAGGTTTGTATAGTTAAAAATGATAACGCAAAAAGCCTTTTTAATTTGGTTAGTTAAAACGTATTGTCTTACTAATTTAGACGATTTTTTAAATTAGTTTTCGATGTTAGTGATCCTCGTATTTGACATAGACAAAATGTAAAAAGGCCTAAAGATCGGGCAAGTAGTCCGCATTAAAAAAAACAGTTATAACGGTTTTAAGTTAATACACACAGTTTTGCAGAGGATCTAGAACTTTAGATCGTAGTTAGAAATAAGTTAACTTTTTATATTCTAAACTGTCTTGTAAATAAATACGCTTATAAATATTTAATTAAAGCATCAATAAATATATAATTCTTAAACTTCTTTTGATACACAACGATGTCAGTCACACTCAACTTGAAGAAGAAATGAGACGGTATTAGTGTATGCTAAGTAGTAAAATAACTCAAAACTCACCGACAGAAGGTTCATATTCTTGCGGCACTGGGGTCGGTGGCTGGATATCTGAATGGGGGTGTACGGGAGCAGGTGTTCCGGGCGCATGGTGGACATTCTAATTAAAGAAAAATCTAGTTACTTAAATCCTTTTTTCTCACTAGAGCATTAACATTCTACATCATTTTACTATTTGTAATCAAGTTTCAATTCTTTTATCTTTTGTGACCAGCTCATCCAAAACAATTTCAGAATTTCGCAATTTCTTCAAATCAGAACCTCAAGCGCTTACCATAATTCAAGTCTTACGTTACACGATGGTGTAGAACCATCATGTAACGTAAGACTTGAATTTTGATTGATGGTAAAATAATACTAATCAAATTTATAGGCTAGATCCTTCTACAAGTCATGTTTAGGGTCCTTCCATCAGAAACAATAATTTTAGAAACACAACACCAATATCAAAACGCGACAAGTGTGTAACTTGTCTCGTTTTCCAAGATAACATAAAGAACAAGAATGATAGTGAGAAATGTACCGAGTTTCTTGCCGGCTCTTCACGGTAGAAATTAATTTCCGTGGTTGGCTGAAACGTAGATTAAAATTTACTTATTACGTTTGTTTGTTTGAACGCGTTAATCTAAGGAACTACGGGTTCGAATTGAAAAATTATTTGTGTTGGTTAGAGCATTTATCGAGGAAGGAAAACTTCGCCCTGTGACTAATACAAGCGAAGATACAGCGAGAAATGTAGAAAAAAAATGGGAAAATTATTCATCACTATGAGGTTCCGAGGCGTACGCTGCAAAAGCGGTTCAAGATACCCAAAAAATATGTACGAAAGAATGATTCCTGTTTAAATGATCTAAAAAAAGTCCGCGACGCTAAGTCTATATTTTAAGATTAACTTGCAAGAACAAAGGAAATGGACGCGTCCGACGTCGTGGGTTAAGTTTATAAAGATGAAGGGTCAAAAACGAATTTTGATTTTCAAAATAACGATTCGGAGTCAAGAAGACGAGAACACAACTAGTGTAATATAACTATTGTACCTCTTCGTGACGTCGTTTCCTGCCGCGCGTCTTGGCCACTGGCTGCTCGGGCTCCGGAGACTTCGCCTCGTTATCTTCGTTCTCGCTGCGCAGAGTCATGTTTCGCTGGTATTTCTGGAATGTGTTTTAAATACCGTCTGTACACATTTAAATAAAACAAATAAATTTAACATTAGCTAAATTCATTAAGAAATAATTTATTAATTAATAATTTATCGCGTTTTAAACCGCTAAAGTGTTTAAATTAAATATCTAAAACTGTATACTGTACATCATCAAACATCAAACACTTTGAATCTACCCGTTTCGCAAAAGAATACACCAAAACTACCCTTACCTTAAACAGTACTCTGGATGGTATAGGAAGAGCAGAGAGTGTGAACAACTTCTCGACACCACCAGATTCCTTCCAGTGCATTAAACGTCTGGTGGGAGGAGCCAAGTCCAGCGTTATCACGATATCCGAGGTATTGCTGAGCTGGTTCTTCATCTCTTCGCCGGTCAAGTTCTTTACCTCGTCGACGATAAGTTTCCTCTTACGCTTAGTCTTTGTTATGCCTAGCACGCAAAAAATACAGGTATAATTTAATTTTCCATGCCATAATTTGCTACTTTTATTTATTTTCAGTATTTTCTTATAATGTAAGAAAACATAGTTAAATTTATATTTGGCAATAAAGATACGTATTGTTTTTGTAAATACTGGCAAATGAAAAAAAAATCTAAATTAGAAAACTAAAACAATTAATTAATATTGTTGTATATTAATAACCTGGGGCACTAAAAAATAACCCCCCCCCCTTCAAATAACTGGGACAATAGATTTTATTCGTTCGTATTATTTTATTACCTTTCAGTACAGTGGCGTCAACTGGAGCCAGGGCAAAGCTCTCCTCCTCGTTTTGCAGCAATGTAGTATTGTCAAGCGCGGGCGCAGGCGTAACTGCGCGCACATCTGGACGAGGCTCTTCTGGTTGAACGTCTGGACCGTCCACTTCCTGTACAAAGAAATTAGATTAAAAAATAATGAACCTTATACTAAGTATTGAATTACAAGCACAAAATAGCCCACCATTGGCGTCGGGGGAAGTATCTGCGCGGGCGGCGGTGGAGGGGGCATTACTGCGTCTTCAGCTGGTGGACACTCAGGTGCGGGTGATCCGGCCCAACTGCAACACATTTTATCTTTACAACATAAGGTAGACACACATTGTGCCTATTTTATTAAAAAGTCATTGCTTTAAAATACACAGAGGGGGCATACACTGATTGAGATACATAAAAATATCAAGTAAAACATAGAAATTGCACAAATAAATGTTTTTCTAGTTTAGATTTTAGTTAACTAGTCGGTTGTTAATGACTACTGACCTGTGCTGGGGTGAATCCCCTGCATCGTAATGGTCTCCCATATCGTCATCGGAGTCTGGGGGTTCAGGAATCGCAACTGTATCACCCCCACCGACACCGGCTGCGTCTATTTCAGCCTGGTCAATAAAAAATATCACATATAGAAACATGAATATAATAATAATACTATATTGCATATAATATAATTTAATTATCAATGTATAAAAGAAACATATTTACCTGAAGAGACTGCGGCTGCGCAGATGTCCCAGGCATGCCTGGGGTGGCACCAGCGCCAGAACTACTGGCTGTTACATCCCCAAATAGATCACCCTCAAACAGTCCACCAGCATCTGCAGAAATAATTTTTTTTAAACTTTGGTACATTAAAAACGCACATATTTATGTTTATATTACCTCAAAGGCCAAAAATCTCTGAAAGAGCTGAAAGGGCTTCACAAAATCGCAGTACAGAATTTTTTAAACTAAATATATATTGTGTATTATATGGTGGTATTGCAAACATGAAAATACATCTGGAATGAAGTCTTATTTTCGACATTGTTAAAATGATAAAAGCCACTCACGTCCAAAATCTCCAACATCCGGTATGGAACCACCAAATCCATCATCCATGTGGGTGTTGGGTGCGGCTTCCATGCGAGGTGCATGGGATTCTGCTAGTATTGGAGCAGTTCCAACACCAGCACTTGTTGTTGGACCGTCTTTGCCGATATCAAGTGATGAGCCCTCAGCAAATAATAGATTACTCTGAAAGGTCAAAGTGAGATTTCTACTTAGTATTGAGACTTCTTTTAGCAATAAAATTAATTAGCCAATGTGACAGAAACAACTATGACTGGTAAATTGTAAGATTTTACAATACAACAACAAGAAATAAACCTATATTCAACAAGATCTGTAAGTAAGTACAATAGTTTATATATATTTCATGTTAGTTTTGAAATTCTAATTAACATTAATAAATGATGTGGAATGACTGAGGAAGAATTAATACTTAGAGTAAAATATATCTGTGGTAGTACCTGGTAACAAATCATAAAATTTTAAGTAGATAAGAAAGTTCAATTTCATACCTGTTCCAAGCCACCTTCATTTCCAATCGCATCTCTCATAATATCTGGGTTTTCAGTATCAAAACCCATATCACCAAAACCATCATCATGGGTGACAAGATTTAAAGAACCATAATCTTCTCTCATTGTAATTTCTTCCGCCCTTGACTGGTTTAGGGAAAATTGAGCCTCAATGTCTACTTCACTGAAATTAGTATTGTCAAGTGATAAAATATTTGTTTTAGCATCACTTTTAACTTTTTAGGTTTTAATTAAAGTTTTAATGTATATGAAACCTGAACAGTTAGCTGAACTTTAGTTGCATGCTCTTCTGACATAAGGAAAATTGTTATGTTATATACTTACATTTTTTTGTTCAAATTAAACCAAAATATATTTAATTTAGATTCAGGTAAGCACCATATTTACCAATTATAAAACATTAAAATTTAACAAACAATTCTGCTAGTTTGGAATCCTTTAATATGTCCAATACTTACTTTAACTCAGGCATAGCCGTATCAAAATCATGAAATACTTCAGGCAAAGTAATGGCATTCATTGCTGCCTCCCTATGTTCTTCAGGTAAATCAACCATACCAGGTCGAAATGCCATCTAAAATAAATAAAGTTTTAAATGTTTGAAAATTTATAATGGTAATGTTATATGTGTTTATAATGGTAAAATAAAAATAACTGAAATGTTAACAAAGTCAAACAATTTTTCTTTGATTCTATGCCTTTTTGTAAACATAGGTAAGTGTAAGCTTTGAACATTAATTCTTCTATTAAAACTTAAAAGAAAAAGTTACCAACCTTAATTTTAACAAATGCTTCATTGCAATCCTGTAATAGATACTTTGCTTTCCTTGAATAAATTCTCACAACTCCAAGCAACAGATGGCCTGATGTTCGAAGTGCCATTTTCACTTTAGGTTTCAAAATACCATCAACAGACTTTTCAATGTTGGTTTCAAATACATGAGCTTTAGTCAACTTCTTATCCCAGTGGGCTGCCAGCCAAATTTTGGCCAAAGGGCCTTTTTTGGCCAGCACAAAATGTGCATAAAACATTTTGCTTGTGTATTAAGTCTGGCCAATTACATCAAAATATCTCTGAAAACAACAACCACATATACGCACTTAAAAAAATACATGGATTATTAAAGAAACATGTATGGATGTTTAATTGTAGCTGGTTTCTTTCAACAACGGTGATCCAATTTGGCGCCCATTCTTTAGAAGTAATACTTTATGTTTTCGAACACTGACTTTAAACATATTTTTCGATAAAGAATATTTCTAATAAAATTATACTCATTGGATGATAAAAATTACAAAATGATAAGGATACCTAGATTGAAAACATAAAATTACTAATTTCAACTTCCACACAACGTAAACATGACAACAATTACGCTTTCAAGATGGCGGAGCAAATTGATAGAATATAGAGTTGCTGACCATAGGTTGCTTGGTGGTAGCATACCTCACTACAGATAACTACAAAAACTGTGACGGTATAAAACAATTATTAAATGTACTAGTTTTCTTTTTTATAGGTCGACGTTTATAGATATTCATTATGTTCTCGATTCATGTCAGAGATAAATATTATCCAAAATATATTATCCTACTCTATGATATTATCTATCACGGTAAAACTGTTCTTTTCTTGACTTTAATGGCAAGTAGGTAGTAGGCACGACTATTTGCCGGTGTTATGTTAAAGGATATGCCGGCTTATTTACAGCGAGGAGAGTTAAACAAAATTTATTTATTTAATTGTACAAGGTTTACTAACTAGATACATAATTATACTTACAAGATCTATTTTTTAATAATTATTATTACTACTTATGTATCTAACATAAAGTATGCACAACTTTAAGTAAATATATTAACTAAAGATAAAAAAAATACATTTTTATGTAACAATTCAAACTACAGATAAAGGTAGTGATTAAACAAAAAAAAACAACTAAGTAAAATTTATAAAACTTTTTTCTTGAACATACATATTTGAGTTGACGAATAAATCTAATCGATCCAATTTAAAAACACAATTGTACAATTTACACTTTGCCTGAATGGGTGAATTTAAATTATAGTTACTTTTACAATGTTTTATGTGTGACTATAGGTAATAATTCAATAATTAAATGAAGGGACGCAAATTCCGATATGTTGTAGAAGAGATGCGAAGAGAAAATGCATAAATATATATAAACTAAGAAGATAGAATGAAAATATATAATCACTAGTCACTACAATTTTACGATATTGCTAATTATAACATTATGCTAATTAGACATAAGAGTAGGATAAAGAATTTGACAAAATTAAAAAAGTAAAAGGAAGAATGTAAAGGAGGCAAGAAGACGTTCTTATCCTTGAAAATCTACCTTTTTAAATCAAAGGGAGACATTTACTAAAAATAATAAAAATAGATACAATTGTTACCACTAGGATCCAACAATGCAAATCATCTACGCTCTGTTATTTTCGGCACTTGTCAGTGGTGATTTGTTGTCATGTAAGTTGTCATTAATAACTGACAATAAACACAGAATTTTGAAGTTGGATCGAAGTTCAGCCATCTTCTCATTCTTTTCCGGTTTAACTGTGGTGTGACCGAGACGTACGTGTTAAAATTATCGAAATTTATTTTAGTAATCCTTATAATTATTGTTTTGTTAAGTCATAGTGTTGTTTAAACATATGTCCTTAGTTTCTGCTGCTATTTATTTTGTCGATAACATTCATAGTTTTAAAACTTGCAGATATTTAATCCGGCATGTTATTCGGGATGTGTCTCAAATCGCTCTATTTGTGGCCAGACCGATGATGTGACTTCTGATCAATACATTTGATTTTGTTGCTAGGTCTGCCACAGGCTCCCAAGATGGGTGCGTATAGATATATCCAAGAGTTGTACCGCAAAAAGCTGAGCGATGTGATGCGTTTTTTGTTGCGTGTGAGAGTATGGCAATATCGTCAGTTAACTCGTATGCACCGTGCACCCAGGCCTACCAGGCCCGACAAAGCTAGAAGATTAGGATACCGTGCTAAGCAAGGTAAGCGCCGTAATATACACGTTAAGAAATTCAATTTACTAGCACGTGTGCACGTTTAGAATAAACAATTCAGGCATTGATACCCCTAAAATTTCAGGTTATGTCATCTTCAGAATCCGCGTGCGACGTGGTGGACGCAAACGTCCAGTGGCCAAGGGTGCCACTTACGGAAAACCCAAAAGTCATGGTGTTAACCAACTTAAGCCTACCCGCAACTTACAATCTATTGCTGAGGTAATAAATATTATATTTTTAGAAACAATACATATGAAGTAAAGAAAAATACACCTTTAAAGGTGCTGGAAACCTGTTACTTTTAATATTACTTTAAAATTATTTTACCCATAGGAGCGCGTTGGTCGCCGTTGTGGAGGTCTCCGTGTGCTCAACTCTTACTGGGTTGCTCAGGACTCTTCATACAAATACTTTGAAGTTATCCTTGTTGACCCATCACACAAGGTAATTTTTTTTTAGTTACAGTTGTAAAAGTTAGATTTTCAAGAAGCATTTGGCTCAATTAAATAAAGTTAATTCCACCTTAAATGCAAACCTCAGAATGTGTAACATCATAATTTATTTACTTATATAAATAATGATGAAGATAATTATAATACAGGTCCCTACTGTAATGATATTCTTGTGAACTTTACATTGAAACCAAAATGGTAATTGATTCAATTATATATATAATATATTTTATGATTTCATCAGGCAATCCGTCGTGATCCAAAGATCAACTGGATCGTGAACGCTGTTCACAAGCATCGTGAGATGCGTGGTCTTACATCGGCTGGACGCAGCTCTCGTGGTCTTGGAAAGGGTCACCGCTTCTCGCAGACCAAGGGAGGTTCCCGTCGCGCTGCCTGGATCAGAAAGAACACCCTACAGTTGCGCCGCAAACGATAGACATACAAACACTCCAATCATTGACTTTCTACTTGATAAATGCCTATCAGAGGGAAAGCCAGTGGTTTTTATTATATACTTATGTATATCAGTTTCTTTTATTTATCCACCTTTAAACATTTGTTGGTTCAATGAAGTAAGTATATGTAAAAATCTTACTTGAGTATAATATTGAATATTAATAACGCAATATTTTATCTTTACAGATGTAGATGTTGAGCTTCAAAATTGTGAAGTGAAGGTAAGACTTTTCTTTATTTGTTAGTAATATACATACATTGTTGCACAAATTAAATGATGAAGTTTTTGTCATGCACCAATCTGAAAGGTTTTGCTGAATACTCACCTAGTTTTTGTCTGATACATTTTCCTTATAGACATTTACAAGTTATACTTAAGAAAATTTTATGTTAACAAGGTAATTTTCTTTTACAGATTATGCAATTTTCTTGTTGAGCAGACTAATCAATGGTTTACTACAGTTATATACAGGTAAATTTCCATATTTCTATAACATCCTTTTAGTACACAATTTTTGTATGATGATACCATGCTTTATGATATGCGCAAACCATGATTACCATGCATATTTCTTCCTTGGATGGCTGATACCTTATTATTTATTCATTAATATATTACTTTACTACAATGTAATAATGACAACATTTTTGTTATTTCAGATATAACAGTTAACAAGGGGATTTTGGCTCTATACCTGCAGGTAAATTTTTATACTTCAAATAAATAGATTTATAGAATATAAATATATTCGCAAATTACCAAATAGTGAAATCCAAATTCTCTTAAAACTTTCATTAATAACATGTTAATGTAATAAATGAATTTGGAAATAACAAATCTCGTCTAGGTGAGGCTCTTGTTACCCTAAATTTTCAAGAGCCTCAATCCGGCCAGAAACATTGCTATAAGATCTGAATAAACCAACTTGGTTGTGATAATAGGTTCATACTAAAATGTGGTTTTTATTTACAGGTACTGTTTGCTGATGTGTACTACTGTATATACTCTACTATATATGTCAATAAAAACTTTATTCCATTTCTTCTTTTTTTTTACCTGCCATATTTTTTCTAATAGATTTACTTATTACATTATACCATCAAATAGGCAGTGAAGTGATTTTGTCAACTCCATTTTGTATTTTTTAACGGAAGGGACAATATTATATTGAAACCATAATCACATCCTTAAGATTCGTTTATAATCTTACAAATTAATTAACAATAAAATATGACGATAAACGTGAAAACTTATTCAAATGGTGACAAATAACATATAAAACTCATGTAATTACAATGCGTGACATAATCTAACGAAAAAACTAAAATTATAAATATATTTACATGTTTTATTGAGACCAACTGCTTTGTGTATGCAGAACATTTTGGACGGTCAAATTTAACAAAGTAAATGGAGAAAAAAATTAGCAATACAGCGACGAGATGCAGTAGGTAGGCTTCAAATCTAGGATTTATTGCACGAAACAAAAACTAATAAGGGTAGTTTGATAGATCATAAGATTTATAAATAGTTTAGTTATTCGTTAGATAACAGATATGATACAAATGTTTTATTGGTGATCTGGGAAAATTTAAGAGTAAGCAAGCTATAATTCAATTAGACTGGAGTTCACTCCAGGTCCTTGATAATAAGAGAAAGTAAACTTTTAAGAGATAGGACTTCTGTATTTTAGCAAGTAGAAGATTTGGCAAAAGGTTTTGAACTTCTAGCATGAGAGAAAGCATCAAATACAGGTATAGGGGTGATAAACTCTTCTTACTGTAAAAAATCCTACTTATTCCACCCAGACAAGTTGTTATGTTGTAATGCCGATTTATTTTAATATTTTATGATAGTTTTCAACGTTAAAATTTACCTCTGTTGGACTTAACCCAGATGTCTAATAATATGATCTATTAAATTGCCATCATTATTTTTTAAAACATAGGATTGCTGTGCATTTATTTTTGTAAATTAGTTGGAGGTCTCATATCGAACACACCCATATCTATAAAGGATACAATTGTAACACATTGAATATAAGTTTTGTAAATAACATTGTTACTGGTAAGTTATCCTAATTCTTTAGGAGTTATCCTTCTTTCCGGATGACACAATGTTTGTAATTTCGGTTTATTCGTTACGAGATTTAAACGATAATGTACAGAGGGCCTTCACAAATTTTCAGTAAGAAATTAATAGTTTTAAGAGAAGAGACATTATTACAATGAGAAAAGCATTATAAGCATGCACAGTCTTCCGGTCTAAAAAATAATAATTACGTGAAAGTAATATACATACAAAAGCTACTACACGTAAAAAGAGGTAAAAAGCAAATAATAACGTCCATTCCCTATAAAATGGCTTAAAAATACCCAGAAAATAATAATTTCAATAACTTTGAACATTGGTATTATAAAATAACATAAATTATAACATTATTTTCATCAACGCGACATTTCTAATGACTAAGGATCTGCTATCACCAAAAAGTATACAAAAAATGTCGTAGTATTTTAATATTATGTTAATGGAAGTATTAGTAGATATTTCTTTTTTTTTACAACACAAAGAAAGACTAATATAATATTGCATTATTTCAAATCTCTCTCTAGTTTCAAAGGTACTTCATATCACTTTATCTATTATTTAATTTCGGAGTTAATGTTTCACATAAAACATTAAATGACATATCGCCATCTCTTTCAATTTATTGTGGTATGAAAAGGGCAATAACATTTTTATTAGGTTTGGTTATTCTACAACAACATACTCCATATTTTTTATTATGTTACATACTTAGTAAAGCTTTATAATTTCCAAATATCTATCACAATAATTTATTACGCGAAGATTTTTTTTATTCATTTCACGGCGCAAAATTTGAGCAACAGATCTTCCTTTAGCTAGAGCTCAAGTTTTGGACCGCAGATTATACAAAGCAAAGAGTACTCGACAATAACACACATTCTTTTCTCTCAAAAAAGGGCTCAGATATAGTTTTTTTTAGACAAACGTATTATTATTTAATACCCAATTTTAGGCTTTTATTAAGATCAGATTAATTTATATAACTACAATTGCTTGCCCGTTTAAATAAATCGTCCCCATTACCATGTTTAGTTAAAACGGTACCTTTTAACCGCTTCCGAGCCCTGCTTGCATTCATTCGATAACAACCGTCATTTTTCAGCCGTGTGCAAAGTGACAAATGCCGTGAAACTGATTTAGTCATTGAGAAGTCGGCTGCGACTGGATTTGCCCAACAGAATAAAGCTGTTATTTGGTTACCGTTCGCGGGTGTACGCGCATTCAGTTATTGGGCAGGTGCTCCGGCCGACGGTCGAAGTGGAATGTGTCAGAGAGATACAGCCCAAAGATGGCGACACTGTAGAACATCGTTAGGCCGAATAGCGCCACGCTCGCGCTGGCCGTGAACATGTTGGAATATTCGCATCTGTGGACATTTGGATACTTTAATATTTTTCACATGTTATTGCACATGATGACATTATATAAATTGAAAATCAATTTTTGATTACGCGAGAGTTGCATGGGTCAATAGGTTGAAAGAATTCGACGATGACTGTTGTTGATGTTGTCGTAGCTCAATTGTTGGAAATGTTGCTCCAAACTCTTAATTAAAAATATTTATAAATATGGAGATTAGATTAACAATATAACTAATGTTTTAGGTATCGTTAGATATACTGTGACTAATCTCTGCTATTTTTTGCAATCACAAAACCTTTTTGAAGCTATCATCGTTAACAATTACAATTACAAATAAATATGCATGCTTTTGAAATAGGCCAGTGTAATAGGTGGGGTACCCAACGTATGAAGGCCGCGTACAATTTAAATTAGCTTTTGCACAGTAAATCAGACCTATAAGTATCCACTTTTAAAGTTTAAAAACGCTAGATATAATTATGGAATTACTGTTAATAATTAACAAGAATCTATCATAACACCCACCCATAATACGCTATTCCTTTTTACCTGAAGAACCAGACGACAGTGAGGGCTACGCTGACCAGCGTCATTAGAATATTCTCGAGGTCCCAGCTGCGTTCAGCGGCCGGCGCCTCGGTCACTATCGAGTGCGTTGGTGTCGGTGTTTCAGTTGGGTGGGGCTGAAAGTTGTATTTATTTTATATTCAATTGTATAATTATTGTTAATGTTCTTTATATAAACGTTGATGCATTTCCAACATTTTAGAGTATGTAATTTCTTAATTTGCCCTTTAAACTTCCTCCAAGATGGTGGAAAAACGGTTGTTGATTGTTGGGGGTTAATATTTACAAAAATAACTAGTATTGTCTATAGTTTACAAGAGTAATATACATTGAAAATAAAGCACTTTTAATGGAGTAAGATTTGCAATTAAAAGCTTATTTTATATCAGCACACATGATCACAGCTCCTGCAAAGTATGAAACCTTGGGGCCTAGTTAAAATAAGTTATGTAATATATTTCGGTTTGTTAAAAGACAATCAAAACTACGTGTAATTTTTAGCTAGTATATATATATATATACTTTTGTAAATATATAAATAGAGACCTGCACCGGTGAGTTCCTTTTGGGATGCACCAGAGCGTGGACTACGGCATGATGGTGAAGACCACAAGCGCGTAGCGTGGCAGCTTCATCGACGAGTACGCGTCCGTTGAATATCAAACGAACACGGCTTTCAGATGAGAGTTCCGTTGCAAAATGTCGCCTGATGACAGTTACAGACATTAGTAAATGTTCAGACTCTACAACAATACACAATACGATTATGGTATCCTTATGGATGTACAAAATATGATCCAAATAATCATATTTTGAAAAATCTTGCTGAAACTGTAAGAGTGTTATAAAGTTTGTGAAACCATTTATTTGATATCAACAATCCATGTGTTATTATTATTATTTTCTATTAGGGACATTGACAAAAGACTGAAAGAAGAAGCATATTTAGGTATTTTCTAAGGACAAAACTCTTCAACCAAAAGACTCGATTTGATGTCAGGTATAACTAAGATGCGTTGTCAAATGCTTTTAGCTTTGGTCCTTCTGAAGTCTCCAGAACCTGGTGGGAAAAGAACCTACGTTCCGATCATTAGTAATATTACTACCCAATACCAACACCAACAAGCACGTCAGTAGGGGAGGCATTATAAGAGAAATTTCAAATATAAGAAACCTTACCATTTGAAGTCTTTCAGCAACTCATCTAAACTCCCTTCAACTTCTTTCAATGTATCATTCAGATACTTCAACTTAATCAAAATCTTGTTCGAATGGTCTGTATCACCGACGTCGTTTCCGGAACTGCTTGGTACTCCGTCTGATTCACCAGTTTGGTTGTTATTTTGGGAATATTCTTCATTTTTAGCTGTAGCACTAACAGACTCCGGAGAAATTCTTTCTGTAACCACACAACTTGTTTCAACAATATTTTTTTTACACTTTACACAACCAACAGTGGCTCTAATGAAGTCAGAAAACGATATAGAGTAGCTTGTTAGCGCATAAGTTGTTTATTTTTATTTAATTTAAGAGTAAATTTTAAACGCATATAGTTTCTCCAGAAGCGGTGGCGCCAGGGTCTACTGAAAATCAGTGTTGCAACGCGTTCGTGTGTTCGTAACATTATGCTGAATGGCTCCTGTTTTAGGAGTTGCCATAGACTTTTATTTTGTTAAGGTTTTTATATTTTGTATTAAGTTAATATTAGTTCATAGATTTTATTTCTGTAAGCAATTTTTGAAATAAATGATTTTATTATTATTATATTGAAAATATACAAAAAATTTAAATAAAACACTTTAACGGTTTAAAACGCGATATATTAGTTAAACTTATTTGAAAATGAATTTTAACTTCGGCCCGACTTAAAAATCATTTTCAAATAAGTTTAACGAATATATCGCGTTTTAAACCGTTAAAGTGTTTTATTTAAATGTGTACTACTCGCGTAAACTATAGACAGTATTTAATATACAAAACAGAAACAATATATTTTTTAGGATTAAGTTTAATTTCCATACAAATATCCATACAAAAATTATGCTGGGCTTGAGAGATGGATATCTTAAATTAAGTAAGATTTCACTTGGCCAGTTGTTTTCAGAATTAAATATATTTACGTCAAATAACTTAATAAAATACTGATAAGAGTAGTTCCGAAATTTGTGCCCTTATAGATATGTTAAACAGGTATAAGGTGTTTATGTTAAATAGGTTTTAAGTTATAGAAGGGTCATAAGTAGCACCATATGGTTCGTGTAAATGTAAACTAATAGGCGTTCCTTTGCATGAATTTGGCTTGACACGGTGCTGCGTGTATATAAATTAAGAAGGCACAGCCTGTACACTACTTTTGTAAAAGTAAAATAATTAATGTAGCATTAACTCGTAATAACTTTACACATATCAACTAACTCCATTACATACCATGCTGCACAGTGATATCAGCTTCCATAGCGTTGACTATGCTGTCCATTTCACGGATTTGTGCCTCGCTGGCTGGTTCCATTTCCTCGGGTGTCTCACTGTCCGTCACGTTCGATTGTGATGAAGCTTGCGAGGTGCTTGGGGTTGCTGAAGCCGAAAACGTATCTTATAATGATATATTGAAATACTTCTTATCATTTACCTTTTGATCTTCTACTCATCCATCTACATGACAGTTTACTATAGTTGGATAAATATATCCGTACCCATACGAATAATTATTTCCTATGAAACAAAATTATATAAAATGTCTAAGCAACTAAAACAGCATTATTGTAAGACACATAAAAACCTTCTAAAAAAGATTAGACCTTGATTAGAACATAATTGCTCTCAGTCATCTCATAAAATCTTAAATGGATGTGAATAATATATTGTCATTAGCAACACTGTAATTTAAATATTGTGACAAAAATGGAAAACAAGTTGTGACTTTAAAGGAGTATTATTTAAAAAAATCATAACACAAGGCAGCTAGATGCAGCTTGATTAAGAAATAGAAACAAAATAGGCAAATAAAAACTTGTGGTAAATTTTGATGTACATTATATAAACTATGTATTCTTTTGTCAAACACTAAATGCCACCACTATTTTTAGATTCCTGTCTTTTTTCTTTATGCTCTCTGCTTTTAGTTTGACATTTCATTTATTTCCAATTAGATATCAGAAGTTTACTATAAGGAGCCAAGCCATGATTGCTAATGATTATTTATTAAAAGCCATAAAATTCTTACCATCAATGACTCTATAAAAATGTAATCGATTATTGTCTAACATAGCCATGTCCGCATCCACTATGCTATCCATCTCTTGTATGGGGATCAAACGATTCCCATTACTATTGCTCGATGCAGAATTGTTTGCTAAAAATGTTATGACCTTTTTAATTTTCTACTCAAAACCTGTTTCAAGTATATTTAAACAACTTTGCATGTACAGTACAACGATTAAGTAAACACAAATAATAATTTCCACTTAGACAAGCAAATTTTAGAAGATTCATGTTAATTATTCATTAAATTTAATGATCTTACAATAATTTGATGGTAATAATTGTTGTGCATATGTAGTAATATAGAAGTAATTACTATATACAATTATTTCATTGCACTATATTAAACCAATTACAAAGTTGTTATAATATTTCTGAGTCATTTTAAATCAAAATTGATTCCACATTTTTAAAAACATTCAGATGGAGAATGTCAACGTTCGGTATTATTTCACCATATTTTTCAAGATTGATAATAATTTATAATACTAAATATTACATAATTTTCAGTACATAAAAAAATTAAATACATACATATTGGCTCAGTGACTGGTTGCGAGGGGGGTGTGTTTGTTACTTGCTGTGTTGGTACCATTGACCCTGTTGGAAAGTAATACGACTATTATATCATAAACAACAGCTACTCATACTATAAGTGACAAATCAACTACTAAACACACTGATGTAAGAAACATTTGGTAATATAAAGTGGTTTTATGATACATAAGAAAGTTACAAAAGCTGCTATAAGTATAAAGAAATATGGCGGGCCTATAACTCATCAAAATTTTACATCAAAGTACTTTTTTCTAGAGACTATAACAAGAAACCAGCTAACTTTTTTACGTCTACCACTCAAACTCAAGACCTATTATCCTTAATGCAATGTTATTGCATTGTACTTACAACTTAGCAAAAGAAAAGATTGAGTGGAATGAAATAATAACTTTTAATCACTTACTAGTTCTAATGCTGACTGTAACAGGATGTGTCGGGCGTGACCTCATTAATAGTACTGTTCGGTAACGATCTGGTCTAGAATTTGTAGACCACCATGCTAATGATGCAATAACAATAATAAATACAGTTATCATGAACTGAATTACTTCATCTCCTATTCCTTCAATTAATGACATTTTGACCTGAAATAAAAACATGAGACATGACTCATATGAACAGCCAATATTTGGTTAAAAGACCTTGCATTTTTTTTTATAATTCAGTGAAAACATTAAAAAAGACATGTAAATAACAAATAATTAATTATATGAGTGTAATATTAAGGCTCTTAAAAACTTATAGCGGCTACTGTAGTAAATACTTATTGGAAGACAGATAAGGAATGTATTATTTTCAATCATTAAAATACATTTCAAGGTCATGTACAAGGCGACGACAGAATATTTCAATAATTTACAAAGATATACCTAATTTTTGTAGCTCAGTTCCCATCCACAAGTTTTAATGCATGTCTTAAACCATATGGCCAAGCATTACGCCAGCTAAAACCACAAATTACGAGTCCATTAAACCTTTACGCACAACAATTCAATACTACCTCGGATATTATGCTATCATCACAAACAAAACACGGTAAACTATCCACCACTTCACCTCGCATAATAAGCAACGCATTAGCAAATTTCATTAAATCGGAATTATTGAATCTGCAAAAAACGTCATTTTTAGGAATTACCTTAAAAATACGTCTAAATATTATATCGAGAAACAGCGAATTTCTCGGATGATTTTTCCATTAGTTACATTGACAATCTGTCATTTTCGACACGATTTGATGTGGGTTTTCTCAAGCCTAATAAAATTTCATCTGTGAAAATTCATACAATTAAGAATACTCTGTTCTATACCGTCAGCAGCATTGACAGCTGACACAATATTGACAACACGTTGACATATGACAACGAAGGTAATGCAAATAATGTAATGTGAAATCTTTTTCGTTGGCGAATTCGTACGGTAATCATTTCATCATCCTCATTTCAGCTTTCAAGTGCGATAGAAGTGTTTAGAAATTTGTGCAACAAATCTATGTGGTTATTCAAATTTGAGCAAAACTAACATACAACTGACGTGTATCAATGTCTAAAACGGATTGTTCGTCGAAGTGATTTTTATTTCCTAAACTATTGTCACCGTGAATTACAATTGGTGCCATTAAAAACAGCTGAGTTACTTTATATTTGGTCTTCTAACTGATTCAGTTAAAAGACCTTCGCTGGTGTAATTTTATTATTGAATAATAGAAAACACCGAGCTAATAAGAAGTGTGAGGGACATTGTCTAACATGGTCAACGCATACACACAAATAATCGATAATAACTTGTTGAAAAATATTTATATTAACAAGACAAATAAGTTGGCGCAAACAATTTTGCGTCGAACACATAACTGTCCCTTTAGAAAGGACAAGATTGAGAAAGTTAAGAAAGTTGGATTCACAAGACATATGAAAATGTAAGTAGAACGCCTTTGTTACTTTTTGTAATCTTTGCTTACCATCTTATAACTTATTTTGCTTCTAGCACTAACTTGCTTTAGTTATTTTTTTTAATATCCAGCTGTTTTATTATATATTAAAACAAGAAGTACCTCAAGCTGTTTCCTGGCTAATAAACAAACATGTTTAGTATTTTATTATTCTTGAAAAACAATATTAAATTGTTTTTAACTTGTGAGCCTATAAAAATGTATATTTTTTATATTATTAATAAAAAAATCTAAACCTGCTTCTATTTCATTCTTCTGTTTTATGGCATGCTTGATTGGGCTCAGGAAATAGACATAACATAACATTTGTCTTAAAGAGGTCATTTTCATACATTAATGAGCTTGCTATTTTTAGCATTAAAAAACAAAAGTCTGAATGCAAGTACTAAACATGTATGATACAAAATAGTGGCTGATTCAAATTCATTTACTAATGTTTTAGCTTTAGTTATACTCATCCTCACAGATTTTTAATTTATTTAATATTGAAAAAGTTGCACAGTCTAACTTGTGTAGTAAGAGGAACAATCTGTACATGGCAGACAGCCTCGTGTTATCTCGCTTTATATACTTGCTTTTTCTTATTTTACAGCATAGTACTGATACATTTAGTATTGTATAATTTAAGATTGGTTAATGGTCTGAGATACAATTTAAAAAAAAAGAGTTAAATTTACTATATGCCATATACCAGCCCGCTGCTTTGCTCTAATGTTAGGAGTAGGACTTCCTTACAATTTTAAAAATTACCTATTTGTCATTCTATTTTATAAATATAAAGCGAAATCTTTTGTAATCATATAGAAAATTTCACAATTGTGTAATGATTTCAACCATTATATAAATACTCAGAATAGCTCCAAATAAAACGTGACATGTGACTGCAAAACAAGTGTAGTCACATGATCAGCTGTATACTAAACTTTATCTAAATGTACGATCTGTAAGTCATTTTTTATTTATCTCAGCTGTGACTTGATTCCTAGATTAAATGAGGTTTAAAGATGAAACAATGTTGATATTGGAAGTTTAGCCAAAAAAATTTTCTGTCTGATTATCTTATTCTAACAGAATATTTTAGACATCATAAAAACGCAACGTAACTGTTATAAAGTCAACCGAATCGTAGTAGTGGTGGAATAAATCACGAAACCCGTATACGTAACTTTAGTTAGTCTCTATTTATATTCTTCTATTATCACATGCCCCAACACGATTGTTTAACATTTTAAACACAAATGTTAAAGCAATTTAGCCTTCATTGGGCTAAACTGCATGCACTTGCGTGGTTATGGTTATTAACTGATATAAAAGCGGTATTCAGTCGATAAAAACATTTTTTTAGTTTCATGATATACAATCAAGCGACTCGCCGGCGCCAGAAATGACTCACCTACAGAGATTACCGAATAGTTTCCTTAGTTCAGAAACTTAACATCCAAACAATAATAAGTTAATAGAACATTTTTCTTTTTAATTTTGTTTCTTACGTTATAGATGGAAAGCAAAGAACTCTCTAAGTATAGTAAAATAAACTATTCATTAATTACGTAATCTATGTATAAAGAAAGCAAAAAATGTTGTACTATAGATAAAACACAATCCCCATGTAAAGATAAAATGTCATTTGATTCGTACTAAATTTGTTTAGCATGTATAACAGGAAAAATTCTTATTTACCGCGCATTTACCCAAATGATGTAGAATCCCAAATAACTTTCTCTTAGCCATATCTCGGAACTCACACATATATTATAGGAACAAGTTTGACTAGAGTATATTTCGTGCAGTAAAAAGTTTGCTGTTAATGTTTCATTAGGCGCATTAAAATTAAGTTTATCGTTGTTAATTTCTACTGGAATAATCATTATTTCTGGCAAGATGTTGTTTGCCAAATTTTCGTATCGATAAAAGTATGTTTATCTTTGCACGGCACAGATAAAAGTCTGTATCTACGTATTTCGTACTGATATCTTAATTCCAGCGGTGTTTGTTGGGGATACCAACTACCTAATTTCGATAGAATCATTTATACTTGTCAATGCTGTTTATTAAGCTGGCTGGTTGACGTCATGCTGTCGAAAATAAACAACAAAGAACTTGTGTATAAATAAAATGACGACTCTCTTCTAGAGCCGCCCGGTTACCAAAATTTTGCTTTTGGTCCATTTATCAGTCTGATGATGTGTAAAGTGCGAGAGATAATATTTATTCTGACATGTATGGAACTTGTACACTTTGCACATTGTTATCGAAGTGAATCAGCAAAAAGAGATATCGCAGGCCACTCGGCGGAGGCCGTGATGGGTGACTACAAGTTGCTCCATTCATGGAATAATAACTATTATTACGTCGCGTTTGCATGTTTACCATAGCATTAAGGTGAAGGACACGGCGAACCAACAATCCTATGGTAATTTCCTACAGGCAAAAAGCACAGATGCAATGGAATTGCCACTATTGTACTGAAACTTTATTTTATTCGCTATTATGTACAATTGAAAAGATATAGGTATTTTATATACCTATTCAATTGAGTAACATGAAATAGATACCATTATCGATCGTAGAATATGGTTCGACGGGCCTAAGAACTTTTTTGTTGGTAATCTTGAAATTATGCTATAGTCAGACCTAAAAATAAGCTCTGCAACAATAAAGTACCAATCACCTTACAGTTCTTATTAGGTGGATTATGAACTCATAAGACAGTAATGAGGATTATCTTTGCGACCAATAAACATGATTACTCGTACATCCCATATCTTCGAGCAAGAATATATCTAAAGTCGAATACGATGTAGACGTATTAGGTCTCTGACACTTATCACACACCTTCCGTGAAATTACGCACTATTTTACGTATCGTTTGCGCATGATTTACTTTTTAGCTCTACTTTGTCAATCTTGTCGGCATTTATCACTTTGTTATCACTATTTGTGAATGTGTAGGCTTAGTTGTCTTGGAGACAACTACAGCCAAAGGCTGTGTGCAAACCTTTGGCTGTACTCGTTCCTTGGTAAATCTTGGGGCCAGAAAAGTTCTTCAGAACCAATGTTCACATCTTGTTTATCTCGCTTTGGACGTGCCATGACTTTCAGTTTTTAGTCAACCTTTGACAAGTACTCAAATTATTTACTTTTTCATTCACCTCTTCAAACGGAAAGAAAATATTCCAGTTGTACGTACAAGGTGAAATTTAAAAATGTAATGCGACCAAAAACTGAGCACACTTTTAGATAGTTGAGAAGGTACCATACTTTACTACTCTCTAATATCGCTAGGTTAGTCTAGAGATCCTTTCTTTTACTTCTTACGTATCAAGTCCGACCTAAAATACTGTATTCTTGTTTATATAAGCCTGGTTACCTAGTCTACCTTAGAATGGGTACTGTAGCCACTCTACGTTCCTAAGACTTATTGGGAGTTTGTATAGACAACATTTCATGTATCTATTCTTTTACGAAGATAATAATAATCATCGTTACGTATTTGCGACTGCGTTTGAATGCCGAGGTTAATAAACCTCGCTGCCGAATACCGATGACTAATCCCGGTAAATACTGATGGTAGTGTGCGATCGTTGAATCTTAAAAACTCTTACAGGATAATCGATATCTTGCTTATAACTGTTACGTCATTGAGTCTTCCAAGGGCCATAGGTTACGGACACATGGCATGTTCATCATAAGAATTAAGTGTAAGAGCGTCTTTTCACGCAATATTATGAGTTACTCTTAAATGTGTATGTCCTTTTCCGTATAGATCCCCACTTATTTCCTTCTACAATTAGGAAATTGCTTATTTAGTATGTTGATTTCGGAGCAATATTGCGACCTTTGATTAAATACTATCTTAAAATAACCATGAAATTTGAAAGGCGTACGTAGCACTTCCTTAAATTATTGTGATTTGGGTTTCCCCCATAACGCTAGTTATGTTGCTTTTTTAGCCCTTTTATAGAACTCTCCCCGGATATTTGTTATGATAGCCCTTATGAGTAATTAAGAAAACAATAGCTTGCATTATATAGGTTAGATATGCTATGTTTTGCAGTCTTGTGTCGCGTGAAACCCCAGTAAAATCGCCCCCCGCCCGCCGCTTACCACCCACACACGGCCGATTGCGAGAACTCATAATACATAACACGATGTATAGAACGGTGAAAACGCGTCGAACTCGTGACCGTCATGATCCTACAGCTCTCATTGGCCACTTGGGTTGACGTCATTCTCATCAGCCAATAGGGTTGCGCGCGAGATATTTTTAGAACAAACTTAATGAGCGGTGGGGCTAGAGGAAAACCGTGGTTGCCGCCGCTCGCGATTGTTGCACAACGTTTTTGGAGCTCTCTCAGAGCGCGCGTGTACATATTTCGAGGGTTAAATAATAATAAAAAATATTTATTACTGACCTTGAAACTAAAAAGTTGATTTGCTGTCATCAAGCGCATAAGTTACTCTCTTACATATTTTTTTGAGGGTGACTTCCGTATAAAGCCTTCAAAAACTTCGTTTTGGGGTAAGTTTTATTTTTAATATTATAATCAAATATGTACCTAAAACACTGTTTTCGACATTTACACTATATTTTAAGATGAGGAGAATTATTTATGACTATCCTTTATTTATATGTTATAATATTTTTCTTGTTTACAACAAGTATAAGCATGTTCAAACCATTTAAGAGGCCAAGCGGCCGCGTGGTTCTTGTAAATAGAAGTTTATTTCGATAACAATACGGAATGGACTGGATTCGATTATATTCATACAATTTTCATAACTGCTTTGCTAAGTTATAAAAATTGATGTTATTGCGTCGCATACTTAATAACAACCGAATTAATGATAGCATGTCAACCCACACCATTAAATTGGAGGTTAGTGCTAATGGATTATTAAGTAGTCATTAGATATGCCTATATTGAACAAGTATGCGATGAAATGCAAGCAAGCTTTAGGTTATCAAATTACTGATTGTCCAGATTCCTCGTGGCCTTGAGTAGCCACTTCGCGGTAAAGGTAATTCGGGAACAGGTGCAGACATGTCTGTGAAAGTTGTTTGTATAGGAAGCGCGTTAACCCGTTTACGTTCCCTCAATCTTTTCAAACCTAAGTGGCATTCGAATGGGACGTTCTCGAAAGTTGAATGCGGCGCATGCGTGTCGAATAAATTGCGTTCTGGGTATTCCAAGAGAATATTTCCATTCCACCTTTTAATTTCGTCGTCGTCGAGTTTTTGTTTTTAACTATAATACCATTGAAGAAACATTATGCAGCTACAGTATAGTCCAGTAATACAGTATAGTAATCTTTGGTCCTTTAATCCACACCTTTGATAGTTTGATAGCAAATTATCGATTTCCAGATAATAAAATAACACCTACAGTATATTATTGTCAAAGATCCGATGTTCACGATCCATTGGATAACGTATTACTCAATATAATCTTATAGATTACAATTCCTAACCATTTGTTACTTCCTGTATTGAGAATGGAATATTTTTGTTTCATCTCAAATAATATAGAGTTAAAACGAGACAATGTATTCTCGTGCTCAAATAAATGATAAAAACATCCATTTTATTTCTGAGATAAGAACGCGTTACAGTAGGTATGTTTGTTGCTCAACACGTTTGCTGCCACGTGTCCAGTTAATGATCGTTCGCAATGGCACTTCGCTATGAAATTTTACAAGAGTTTGTTGAGGATAGAGAGATCTATAGAAAAACCCATACATAAACGCAAAAAATGTTTATTTCATTCTGGCCTCCGAAGCATAAGAAGCAGTTCTCTCCCTTTTTACGTATATATAAAAGATATGTTTTTTACATCGACACCGTAATTATGGCCGAGGTCAACATGTTACAACATAAAAATATATTCCTACGAATTGCGCAATAGTGTAAGCACATATAATTGTAAACTATGATACGGTATCAATAAAGGGTATTAGTTCTTTAATAATAATATGTATGTATATTTGCTTTGCATTGTTTTTTATAAAGTTGTAAGGTTCTTTAGTTAGTTAACTTAGAAATATGTGAAAAATTTACAAAAAAGAGATATTATTAAATATACAAATAAATTAGTTTTAGTCATATCTAAACTTAATCTCGTTTGTTTCAGGACTACCTTTATGACAGTGTCTTGGTTGGGAGCCTAAAGGGTTAAGATTTCAATAGGAGCTCGTGACGAGTTCAAAAAAGTAAGTAATTCCGCTGACGCGGATTCCTTTTTTCCTTAACCACATCTTATGTTTCAGATGAGATGGCAGTGACGTCATTAGAACAACTACCAACCTTCGAACCACTTCGTTACTTAAACTTCATTAAACCAATTAAAAAACAATAATCGTTTAAACAATAATTATGATTTGACAAAATTTTATCATTGAATTCTTTGTCAACATATTAAATAGTTTTTAAAGTAATTGTGAAATAAAAAAAAAAAAAAAACGTAAACCGTCAAAGCGGATTTGTTTCTTTACAATCATCATTAATAATTAGCAACCATTGCATTATATAGCATATATTTAATTTATTTTTTATATGGTATGATAATAAAACCCATTGAGTATACGCATTGTGATATAACTATTGCATAATTATAGTCTCCATAAAATATTAATTGTAAAGATTTGTCTATTTGTCCGCTATTGTATTATTCTATATGCTTTTTATATTCTCACAGATAGTGCTTTATTTTTCATTGAACCAACTTCAATTAGGCTTTTGTTTAGCAACTGTATACTTTTAAATGGTATGATTTAAATATAATTGGGAAAAAAGGTTAAATTATAAATTGAAGAGCTATTTCTGTTTTAAAAATATCACACGTATATTCTTGATATCTTATAAGTAGATTTGAAATAATAAAACTAATGACGTCTTTTTTGGAGTTGGTTGATATTGTAATTCACACGATTCTGCTATATCCTTCCAACTGTCTAGCGTCTGTCCCTCTATCATCAAGTGACCTTGTCCTCCGAACTTTCCCAACCCGCTTTATAAATAAACGCATTATGTTACGTCGTATCATTTCTTTTTGTAGTTCTTTTCAAAATGGTTGCTCAAAAGCTCAACGTCAGTCCGCGAGGAGGCGACGATATCGGAATACAATACGACTACATCGAAAGATATGGTTTTTTCGCAAACGAGTCACAAAACTCGCAGTTTGTTGAAAGTAATAGAGATAGATCGGTTAAAGTCCGGAAAGAACCAGGTGAACCGTCCTTACGGAGTTGTGACCGACCTAAGAGCTCAGACAACATTTTCTCCAACAACGCCAGCGGAAACACTAACGCCAACGACAAGCTATTCAGAGGTAAGAGGGAGCCTCCGGACCGTGAGTGCCTAGCGTAGTTATTTCTCTAAGTACGTTTGTAAGTCGCGATACAGCTCAGGCTGCATATGCTCACATGATACTTCCCATTTTCAGGAATTTCTGAAACCGGAACCCGTACACCAAAGTACTATGCAGGAATTGGATGCAGAGTTCTTCCAAGATTTGATTCAATGGTGCGAAGCACCCACCGAGCAAGTAGTAGTACAGTCCATTGGTGAGTACTGTTTCTGCAAAATTAAAATATATTATTATTAAGTTCTATTTCCTTAATTTACCAATTATCTCGTTGTCACCAGATCCAACCAGAATAACAGACACGAGGGCACACAACACCGACACACAGCACACACCATTCTCACCGCAAGGTTGGGATGCATTCGACGCTAACTCTCCCATAGCTCAAGCGAGCTCATACAATCCTACACCACCTAGTTATCCCGTCTCACCGAACGCGATGGCGACATTTAATACAGATTTCTTCGGTCCGACCGTCATCGACGAGGACCAAATACCGTTCCAAGAACAATTTTTAGACATAGATAAGTTACCGGTGGTGATAGGTGAATTAGCGTCAGAAACTACCGCCGACGCGAACCCGTGGCAGACGACCACGGATCCGATCTGGCATAACACATACGATTACATAAAACCACATTCAACTCTACACAACACAATGCCCTTCATCGATCAAGAGGACTCACTGGACATGAAACTGATGTCCGTAATACCGAGGGAGGTGGAGAGGAACGACGTCGTAATATCGGAGTACATTTTAAACGAGGTTCAGGACTCCATGGCAGCGGAGCCGCGCGCGCCCCCGCTGTCCGTCGACGTGGCGGCGCGCGTAAACGCATGGCCCGGTGACGTCATCAGCACACCAGAAGTCCTAACCTACGTCGAGCAACTGGAAAAGCAGAAATATCTACCGGCGTGCTCGGTAAGTTCAATTACAAATTAAATTTATAAAACATTTTAATAAAATACTGTCTATAGTTTACGCGAGTAGTAAACCGTTAGTGTTTTATTTAAAAGATTTCAATATATTAATGTAAATTCTTCCATTCTAGACACCGACTTCACCATCGCAATACTCCACGTCACCAGCGCCCAGCGGCCCGAAAGTAGAAAACCCGTCGCCGGCGGAATACGAGCCCATAACACCAAAGAGCGAGCCTCTATTGGACTCTGAGGAAGAGAGCAAGTCCAACACGAGCAAGAGGCGGCGACACGAGAGCGAAGACTCCGACGATTCGTACACGCCTTATACTGAGCAGACGACGCGAAAGTATAAGAGAAGGAAGCCCAGCATACCCATTAAGGATATGATCCGCGCGCTGGAAGGGTCACAACAGCTGACGAAGGCGCGACGCGGGCGCCCCCCCAAGCGGAGGGAGAGCACCATCTCCAACGTGAGCGAAAACTCGTCGTCGGTCTCCACGCATGAAATGAAATACAGGGAATTGCGAGACAAGAATAATGAGGCCTCGAAACGGTCAAGGATGAACAGGAAGCTCAAGGAGCTTCAAATGGAACAACTGGCGGTAGAACTGGAAGAACGAAATAAGAAGCTCAGGGTGAGAGCCGATCTGCTGGAAGACATGACGAAAAAGCTAAGAGAAGCGTTCATGGCGGCGGTCGCGAAGAGCAAAGTCGGATAAAAGGCTTATTTAGCTATCACGGCTTCAATTTGATTACATTGTCAGCTCTGCGCTTCGACACGATTGTGTTTTGTTGCTTTGTTGTTTGCATTAGATTATGTCGGATGCAGAGGCGATCTGACCGTAGATACCTACCGTAATTTACAATGCATTATTTTTGTTTCGCTTCGTATTTTTAAACCAGATGTGACTTTAATACAGGACTTGACTTTAGGTGTTAAGACTTTACTTTTAATGAACTTTCCTACTATTAAGTACCTTACAACTTAACACTTTATTATATTTTTAACGAAAAGTGTTAAGTTCTTGATTTTTATATTATCGTAATTTTAATCTAGAGGCATTTAAGATGCTCGATTTTAATGTTTAATGACAAAAAAAAATATTAATTCTTATTATACAATTGGTTAATTTTTGAAATAAATCATGGTAATTAATTGACCGCGGTAGACTTTAATGTTTTGTTGTATTCGAAATAAATATTTTCAACTTGTTGAGTTATGTCTTTCATTTATACACTTTGAAGACTTCAATATGAATAACAAACTATAATGACAAGATTTATGAGTATAAATAATGCCAGGATCAGTGTCTGGTTATAAACAAGATATATATTTTTATATAACAAAACTTTATTACATGTATAGGATGCCGCCAAGGATTACATTTTTTAAAATAGTATGTGGCTTAGCGTGTTCTGAAATGAATGCAAAAATTAATTAAAATTGTCCTAGCAGTTAAGGCGTAAGGATTCTTCGAATAGACAATTGATTATAGCTACAGACAATTGAATTAATAGATCAATTGCAAATCGACTTTTGTAATTTTCTTTGCCACCTACTAGTTTCAAAACATCAGAGGATGTTTAAGTTTAAGAATTGCTTTATTGAAATAAAACACTAACCGTTTAAAACGCGATATATGAGTTAAACTTATTTGAAAATGATTTTTAACTTCGGCCCGACGTTTTAAACCGTTAGTGTTTTATTTAAATGTGTACTACTCGCGTAAAATATAGACAGTATTTAATTGCTGCTTTATTTTCTTAATATGAAAAAAGTTAATTCTTTATATTTGATGAAAATCAATTTTCCGAAATAGTTACAATAATGCACAAGTAAATATAATTAGATAACTCCAGTGGAATTATAAACCTATGTGCATATTTAGGTATAAATCGACTGCAATAAATGTGGCGCGCTACGCGTTTGTAACCAAGATAAATATTTTATTAGAATTGTTTAAGATCTTATCTATTTGATTTGTTGCATCCCGTGAAGGACCATCATCACTTATTAATAAATTACAACCAATGTACTCGAACATTATGTAAATTGTAATGGATTGCAGAGAATAATCTGTTGATTTACTATTAAGGATTAAGTACATTTAACAATTTATGCGTACATCTATTGGGGTAAGTATAGAATAACAATATCCATATTGTATTGGATCAGAAATTCTCACAAAGGATAATTTTACAATAAAGAAAAGACTATATATATATATATATATGCATAATTCAAATATTTTGAGATTGCCCAATTGGTTTCTATAGTATTCTTACCACGATTTAGATTAAACAGACAAAAAAAAACAAGTCGAATTATTCAGAAATATATTAGTATTTATCGAATTGGTTGAAAATTCCTGTAGTCCATGAATTGAGTAGGATAATGTTTATGAATATCGTTTTGACAAATGCCATTATACGCGATACGCGAAAGATTTTCACAAGGTCTTTAAACATCATCTATAAAGAATCGGTTTTTTCCGCCCACCCACGTCGGCAGAAAGGTTGTTGTTAAAAAGTGTAGGTACTCCTGACATTAAACTACGATATCTATCACATACGCCGGCGCTTATCACGCAGACCACAATCTACCCACCATTTTAATGTCAGCTTGTGCGATCCTAACAAATTAGGTTTGTGACTTCAACTGCCTCAAATATATACCGAAGTTGTTTTGCCAATAAAAAAAATTTAATAAAAATGTTTATAAAAAAAAAGGGGTTGTTGGAAGAAGAGAGAAAATTGTATGTATTTTTGTATGTTGTATCAAAAAATAAGGGTAACAACCTTTATCACTTAGGGGGATGAAAAATAGATGTTGTCCTATTCTCAGACCTATTGAATACACATATGAAATTTGGTGAAAATCGGTCGAGCCGATTCGGAGGAGTTCAAGTTCGAACACCGAGACACAAGAATTTTATATATTAGATAGATATATTTCATGACAGAGGCGGACAAACAAGTTTGGGATTCATTTAATGGAAGCATAAGTTATCTTAGCCATATGACATGGAAGCAAGATGCGTCGATTAGTTTTAAACTTGATAGACTTTATAATACATATGCGTTCAGTTTAAACCAATTCTCTATACTTATATATGTATGAAGCTGAAGAGTTTGTTTGAACGCGCTAATCTCAGGAACTACTGGATCGGACTATTGGACCACTTCTCGAGGAAGACTTTAGGCTATAAAACATCGGACTGTAACTAATAGGAGCGATCTTTGAGAGCTACCGCTGCTAACGCTGTGAAAACGGTTTAGAAACCATATGTATGAAAGAACTATTTTTCTCTAAATGATGACGGACAGAGTCGTGGGCATAGATAGCCCGTATGAAATAAAATGCTAGAATGCTGTATAAAGAGTAATTTAATCATATTTCACAAATAAACATAAGGTACCAAAATCTGTCGATGTTACAAATTAAATAATTGTCGTGATTCATGTTTGTTGTGACGCGACCTTAAATAGTGGGCTTCAAATCAGCAAATGCATCGCGGCGTGACGCGTTATGGCAACAGATACTTGGCCAAAACAGCATTAGATTCCGACGAATTTCGAGTGTAAAGATAAATAATACAATTAACATTCTAATAATAATCTAAATGGACTAAATATAGTATAGACAAATCTAAAATACATTGAAGAAACAAAAAATAAGATTCCCTATCAGTAGCATTGCAACGTTGCAGCGAAATCGGCGAGAGTCAACGCTTACGCTCTCGTTAAACTATCATTACACAAGTAGGTTAGGTTAAACATGAGAGCACCGTGACTGGCAATCACATTAGGAATCAGCACTTCACTCGCAGTAACCGGCAGACCGTTTACACAGCATTATAAATGTAACAAACCTATAGAAAATTTACATCAATTGTCCGCGACGTCGCCCCAGCCTTTATCGCTTACAAATTGTATGCCTCTTTATTCGGACGTGCACGTTTTGAGATTGACATGTATCAAAATTTGATAAGGTGGTGGTAATGTTATAGAGCTGTAGCCGGTGGCTGGTGTGCGGTGGGGACGTAACATTTTGCTGTAAAATGTTACATATATATAAGGGAACTTTAGTATATGCCTAAAGTTTATTAATAGGAGTTGTATAGCAAAGAACTGCCTTGTATTATGTAGTGGAGATTAGTTCTTCCATTTTCTTTTGATTCAAACAGACATGGATGCAATATAATATGGAATAGCTAGATTCCTTGCTATCCTTTTATCAATGAGGCGGCATACCAGGCTCCGGTGGTGGGGGTGGGGGGATAAAGGCTGGGGCATACCTCGCAGCGTAATGTGCATGTAGCAATACCCTAATGTACACGTTCCGCGTGCAATAGCGCGACACACGTTTAATTTAATTTACACTCGAGTCACAATGAAACTGGATAACACTGAGCACTCAAGTCACGGGACACCGACACACGCGAACTAATCTGAGGCGCCGTCGTCGGCGTCTTCTAGGAAGCTAAATTTGTTTGATGCTATGAAGTTCTGGAAAAGAAACGAAAATTATATTGTGAGCGACGTGATCTCCTTTTAAATATTTATATGAATTCTTTTAACTGTCTGTAATCACTGTAATAAAAGTTTACTTAGTTATGAAGTACATATAACTATATTCTTGCATGCAAGTGTACCTATAAAAACATATATTCATGTTACAGTGCAGAGTGAAGTAATCAAGTCGTGCTGAATTTTAACCTGAAGTGCATATAATAAGTTATATAATTGTATATCTTAGTAATAACCTATTGTTACAAATGTTTGCTTTTTTGTACAAATAGTCTTCACTCTATCTTAGTATAACTTTACATGTAGTGTCTGTCAATATATGTTTTACATATTTCTTTTTCTACCTATTAAAAGTTAAGTTATATCACATATGTCAGTAAGTGTGATGTAAATGTCGACAGCCTCTAATTTCATACAGAAATAAGCATACATACCGGTTTCTCCTGTTCCTTCAGCTTGGGCAGTGATTTCTCTTCAGGCGTGTCGCGCCTGTCCCTAGAGCGGGACAGCCGCCCGTTCCTCTCAGTTTCGCCCCTGTCGGCGTCTCTATCGCGCGAATTCCTCTCGCCCGAGTACTCGCGACGCTCCCGACTGTCCCTGCGGTCGTCGTCGTCTTTACTATAAAAAACATGAAACCTTTAATACTTCAAAATGGGTCCCGTAACATTTTTGTATTTGTAGCTATGTGTGGACTATGGACACAGACATTTCAAATCTAATAAGTAATAACCAAATTATTAATACATTCAAAACATTGGTTCTTCTCATTTATTCACTAGTTGCAGTTAATTCAAAGTTTTCATCTCTTGAAGTTCAGTACAGCATCTTATTTATCCCCTTTCACCAGACTATGCCAAAGAAACTAGTTAAATCTCTCGAATCTCTCTTCATTAGCTTAGACCACCAATTATACCAATGGCACTTACTGTTCCCCGTCGTCTTTAGGCTCGCGACGTTCGTCCCTGTCCCGCGAGCGTTCACCCCGGTCGTCCCGGTAATCCTTGTCCCGCGAATAGTCCCGGTTGTCGCGTCGCTCCTCCTTGTCGTCCTTCGAATAGTCGCGCCGGTCCCTATTGTAGCTACGGTTGTCTCTGCGATCGTCTGCAACAATATATTTTCTCAATTTTTAACCGTCTACTACTAAAGAGCAAGATAAAATTAGTGTTTTCCTCGATGGGGCATTGAATGAGCACATTTCTGTGTCCGATTTATTTGCAGGGAAGAAATTAATCAGACTTCTGTGCCTAGCCCACCGGAAAATGTATTATTATCCAACGTTTACACTAAACCTGTCGTGTTAAAAGCAATGTAAAGAGACAGAGATTGTGTACTAAGTAAAAATAAGAAGGCACTTACCACGTCTAGCACCAGGGCGTCGGTCGTTGGAATGATCGTTCTGAAAGACGATCGCTTTGTTAATTATTGTGAATTTAAGATAAAAAAAGTGAATAATACAAGAATGCATTATGCAACCGCTTTATACAAATTTTGAATTGATATTGACTATATTTGTAGGCACAGACGGTGCTTAAAACAAATTGTATGAAAATGGCTAAAGGAACAATAGTTTTGTGGTATGCATATGGTTTAGAATCTTACAAGACATTAAAATGTCTTTCTATGCCTTACCCTTCGGACCCAGCGGTCTTTCTCTTCGACTGCGCGACGCGCCTCCTCTTCCTGCTTACGTAAACGCTCTTCAATTTCACGTTCCCTAAACAATAAATAGCAGATAAGTATCCATTCAACAAAAAACTTTATTCAACTACATATTTTTTTAGATATGGAGAAGAGTATGGAGTTCAACTTGATGGGAAGTGAAATACCATATCAGCTCTATAACATAACATCTAAACAAGATGCGCTATCGACCTTTTTTGACTTGTATATCCGGAAATTCACAGATAATAAATTGAAAAATTAGAACAAGTTGAATCCGGTGGGATTAAACCCCATGACTCATTGATTATGAGCCATACATTGCAACCGTTAGACCAGTGTCTCGCAAACTGTGTGCCGCGGCACACTGGTGTGCCGCGGGAGAATGTTAAGTGTGCCGCAAAAGATTTTCCAAGTTGCACTAGATATTCTGAGATTAATCTATAAACCAATTTCTGATAACTATAAAATTACCCAAAAAGTAATAATTTAACTTTAACTAAATAACCCAGAACCCAGGTACTCGTAACAACAAGATGCACAAGCGAGAGCGAATTGGTTAGAAAAGCACTGGGCGTGGTTTTTCCCCCACTCAACGTATTTAATAATGTAATTTAGCTTAGTGTGCCGCGGAAAAAAAAATCATCAGTTAGCGTGCCGCAGACTAAAAAAGTTTGCGAGACACTGCGTTAGACCAACGAGCCCTGCAATTATATAAAAACTTAAATCGCGTTTCCTCTATGTGGGACAAGGAGTAGACACACTTCCACGTCGGATCTGTTCTACACTGAACAATGTTACTCGCAAGTTGATCAGATTTCTATTTCCTTCCGACAATAACTATTTATTACATTTTCTCGGGATTCAAACCTAGGACAACCAAATTACTGAACTAGGGATACAATCAGCTCGTTTATACTGCACCTCAAATTAATAACTCAAGATATTTCATTAAACATCATTTGATTAGAAAATCAAAGAATACTTTACTAAAAGTAGTTGTGGGTATATTGCGACCAAGTTGCATATATAACGCAACACGGTGTCTAAATGACCCCTTTATTATAGCACAAAGATAAATGTACCTAACAATAAATACAGTCATAGTAACTGTAATTACTGTTTGTTGTGCAGAAATAGTGTACATTGGACACAACATTGGAGATTTGAGAGATTTCCGTTATTTCCTAGTATTGGTTGAACAAACGAACCGGAGAAGACTTAATCTACCAGTCGATTTAAGCTCTTATTAATATTGTAATTTAAATATAAACAGTTTAATTTCCTCCCAATTGACTGACATATATTAATATGTGAATATATATATTAGTATTTTCTTTAGAATAACGAAGTTTTTTAATTGTATTATAAAAGTATTATGATTCTTCATTTTAATTAAGTGTGTCAAATTAGGTAGATATAGAGACCCTACGCTATAATTGACCCTATGTAGTTTAATGTTTAATTCTTCAAGTATTTTTTTTTATACTGAGTAACACTTGAAATAATAACTAAAAAAAATCCAAACTTGACTCACTTGGCAGCTGTGTCTACTGGCTTGGCCCCGCCAAACACCTTCTCAGCTGGCACAGGCTTGGGTGCCGCAGGCTTATCATCAATGGGAGCACCGTCCGCTGGCTTAGTGGGCACTTCGGGGTCACGAGGCACCGTGCGAGGCAGTAGATTCAGTTTCGGACGCTCGCGTGGCTTTGATTCTTCATAAAAAAATTAAATATTATTAATAAATATTCTATTATTAAAAGAATACTTTAAAGATCAATTTATATACCAAATAAATAGTCTAAGGCTTTCATGGCCATCTTTCAGCATATCAATTAATATTAATTAATTCTTCGAGCAATCGAGGAGTTAACATCTCCTGATGATGCAGTCCGCACGTGATGGCGAAACCTCTTCTCGCTCACGTCGGCCGTACAGCCCAAATATAAAATAAACACTTTATGGAGTGTTATGGTTATTGGACATGTTGGAGGGCATTCCCCATGGTACTATTTAAAGACTACAATAATCTAGTTCTAGTTTAGTTAATTCCATAGTACAAAAAAATACATATATTAATAAATTTACCTTCCCTGGGCGGTTCCCTTTCCCTATCTCTATCACCGAAACCTCTGTTGCCAAAACCACGGTTCTCGCGGCTGAAAATAAATATATGACATAAGTATTGAGTAAATATCTATGGTTATACTCGACTCCAAACTCGAGAATGACAATTACGTCACATTCAAATAAATACGTTTAAACGGTTTACAACGCGAAATATACCAAAATATAAATATATTAATTAAATGTGTACTACTAGCGCAAACTGAAGACAATAATTAACTACACATTCACAATTTTAACGATATTATGTGGTTTACAAAACACGCCTCTGATGCAAATGTTTTTGAATGTTGAATATTAGTTGACGAATCTTTTTTGCATTTAAACAGTCGATAAATTGATTCCAGTTCATTAGTATAAAGGACATTTTTATACAACAATAAGTTTAGTTTTCACTAGTTGCATTTCGTTGGAATAATGTAAGAAACATGTAGGTATATAGCGACCATATTGCGTATGTAACACAAAATGGTGTCTTGTTAACCACATTGTTCTGGCACGCGGATAAAATGCATTGATTACAATTACAAAATATTGTAATCGATGCGCGACGTGCCATCAACTTTGAAAGTTCTCAAGATAATACTTTACGGGTTTAATTTGCATACTTGGTACACATTTGTAAATTGACTGGTTCTGGTTGAAGTATCAAGGTTATCAACACCCTGACGTCAATGAAGTTATTTATAAAATGACAAATTATATTAAAATAAATACAAATATGTATGTCACACAATTAATTTATGTGACGCAACAAAAAACCTAATTAAAACCAGTAAGATTAACTAAAAACTATGTAAAATCAAAACTGATAATGTGATATGTAAAAATATAATTTCTCTATAAAATTTGGAATTGTCTTTAAATACTGTATCACAACAAGAACCATGTTAGTAATCAAACTAAACTAGTCTGGTTCATGTCTTAGAGCATATTTTCACCATGAATCTATTATATATATTCTTTAGAGCATATTATATATAACTAGATAGATAATATGGGGCCGCTAGAGATAGAGTAACCTAACTGCAATTTTATGACTGAAATATTTAGTCTTTAAATTTTAATCTACAAGAGCAGTAACTAAAATCGTTAACATACTTCTTACACAAATAATAGTACAAATTCATTTTTGTCTAAGTTAATTGCACATTTTTATTTTCCTTCCTATTTAAAATCATGTTTTGTAATAGGCCACTATGCCTCTAGCAGTCTTACGTTAGTATTTACCTAAATCCACCGTCCCTGTCTGCAGCTCGGAATCCGTCTCGGCCGCCGTAGCCGCTCCTCTCCCCGTCGCGACCGAAGCCCCGCTCCCTAATTTAGATATTTTAAAATTATAACAAGAAAAAGGTCCCGTGTCACCAAATCTACGTCCAACTCAATGGATCAATATACAGGTGAATAAATGATTAATCTATTGCCCGTCCAATGTTATCTTGTTTTCTTCAGGTTTCGAAACCAACACTATGTATTGAATGGACAAGCATATACAATTAAATGTATGAATGAGCTTTAAGAAACTAGCTGTTTACAAAATTAATTAAAAATTTTACTTAACAATTTTCTTTTGGTGATTGTTTATCTTTTCATTCTGAATATAATGATGTTTACCTGTCACCATAGCGGTCTCTTCCGTAAGAGTCCCGACCCCCGTAAGGGGTACGCGGGGGCTCGCTAGGTCTCTCCGCGTCTCGCCACGCCCCAGGCTTGTTGTCAACGCTCGCTTTAAATATTTAAACTTTGTTTAAATTCAACAGTTCACCATACAATTCTTTTATATATAGAAGCATATTGTAAATCTACTTCATATTTTTTCAAAAGATATATACAATTAAATATTTTAAAAGGGGCTTTAAAAACTTTAAATTTTTTTTTGCATATAGTCTGCATGGTGTAGTGTTTTTATATGTATTCCTGAATAAAATAAGTCACTCAGAAAGTGAAAGCATCAACCGAGCGAGCTAAAGACTAGTCTGAATTGAGTTGCGGCGGAACCGTGTCACAGATCAAACTAAAAATGCCGGCCGCGGGGAATTTCCAACGAGCGCGAACGCTACATCTCTTACCCCGACTAACGTTGCGTCGTTATTTCCTGGTTTCCCCGCCGTTGTTATGGACAACGCCCCCGTCTAGAGGGTGGAACAATGACTACAGGGCGTCAATAGCCTTTACTCAGACCTTCCCGGGGCAGAGAGAGTAACTAAATGACTAAACAAGTTTCAAATGCTTTTGTACTCTGTGTGTGTGCCCCAAGTGTGACATTATAGCTCACTCGATTACACGATCACTATATTCATCATAGCGACAAACCGTTATGCGTTGAAAACAAAAAGATTGTATAATTGCCATATTAATATAAAAAAGCGAAACAATATAATTGATCATAACCCTATCGATGGTATTGTATTATTATCATTCTAGAACCTTACAATAAACCATATTTATAGTTAATGTACGTGCTGCATTGATAAAGAACCATTTTCAGACTGGCAATTAAAACATATACAAAAATTTTATATTAAACTTTGTCATGGTACTTAACATTACAATACATATTATATCTATGTAAGAGTATACCACTGTGTTAACTATAATTTGTAAAAATGTATATATAGTTATCTTTTTGCTTACAGTCTCTTTCCCGGTCCCGTTCGCGATCGCGATCTCTGTCCCTTTCCCGGTCTCTGTTGTCCGGGGGTGCACGGGCGCGGTTGTTCTCGGGCACTGACCGTGGTCCAGACCGCCAGTCTCCCATAGTACGTTCCGGATCGTATTCCCTGTTATACAATTGAGTTTATGGTCATTTAGAATAAATTAATAGCAAATACTACGTCTACCAGATCAATCATTAGAGAATTATTGATGTCCATTTTTAAAACAATTCTGATACAATCATAGCCAATGTATGGGCAATAATTAACAAGTTTAGGATGTAATTCCTGATTATTTCTAAACAATTTTGATTTAAGTAAAACACTTAAAATATTACAAAACGTATAGTTTAGTAAAAAAGTGCAAAAGAGTACAATGGTTAGTGAAATCCCGTTACCCCCTCGTGGGGCATGGGGCGAACACATTTCTCTGTCCGTTTCACTGATCCATTCTTTAACGGGCAAGTAGTTGATCAGACTTCTGTGCCCTGCCTAAATGAAACAATTGTTTGTTTCCCTGGGATTCGAACCCAGGACCTCTTGCGCTTAACGCAATGCTAGCCAATACGTTTAACCGTTTGGCTACAGAGGCGGCAAACAAAGTAACATAGTTATGCACCAACAAATTCTCTCATCCGAAAAGTCGAGCCGAAGTTAAAAATGATTTTCAAATAAGTTTAACTAATATATCGCGTTTTAAATCGTTAAAGTGTTTTATTTTAACTTCTCGCATTTTTAATATATACAGATAGGCTAAATTGTATAGAACAAGCCAAACGAAATAGAACCAAATACATGTTGTATATTGAGCCTTCAAAAGTACCTGTCGCGATCGGAGCGGCCCATTCCGCTGCGCCCCATGCCGCGGCGGTCATTCTCTTTTGTGTAAACCTCTATTCTTATCCTTCTGCCTCCTATTGTCTGTTAATGAATGAAATCAATAAATTTCTCTATTTGTCAATGTTGACAATTCTAAAGTATTGTTACTCTTGTAAAAAGCCTTTAGAACCATGAGTTGGCACATGGAAAATTGATTTTAGTAGCTAAAAAATAAGATCACTTAAACATCACAAATAACATTATATCTTTTATATTTTATTATAGCTCAAATTGCATTAAAATATATTAGTGAATTGATATTAAATGGCTTAAAATTGAATGTAAGAGGAAGTAAAGAAAAAAAACTTTAATATTCCACAGTCAATTAAGCTTAAGAAATTAATGGGCAGAAAAAAATTAATAGCTAAGTATACATACAAGGTCAGGAATGTTCATAGCATTGACAAGACTCTCCCTGTCTTCAAAATCAACATAACCAAAGCCTTTGAGACGGTCACCTTCACGTGGCAGTCTCAGGTTGGATATCTGGGGAAACACAATACAATCATAATACATTGTTCTTTATTGAAGACTTTTAAGACAAATATGTTTAGTACTTTGAATGCATATACAGAATAAAAATGGCTGTATAAATATTTTTCTGTTAAATACTGTCTATAGTTTACGCAAGTAGTACACATTTAAATAAAACACTTTAACATTTTAAAACGCCATATATTAGTTAAACAATATTTGAAAATGATTTTTAACTTCAGCCTGAAGTTTCAGATGCTTTGCAGCAGCCGTGGTGACGAGTCCCCTAGTGTTTTATTTAAATATTTGTCAGTTTTTAATCCAATGCTGTTTATGCAAAAAGTGCATATTTATTCTATACCACATACTACTGTGTAACTTCAAAGAAAGCACTTTTGCTGTTGTTACGTTCAAGTCCTGCCCAAGTCGAAAATTTTTTCATTTTATTTTTCATTTTTAAATTAAAAAAGCACTTATGTTTTTAAGTAAAAATCCAACTATAAATGTTTTATTTGAGTCAAATTAATCACCTTAAGTCCCTCAAAGAGGTCTGATATAGCACTATCATCAACATCATAAGGCAGATTGGATATATGTGCAATGTATGGTGGACGTTTTGGGATGCTCTCATCGTCAACAGCAAGACCGCCTCGGGCTGCACGAGAGGCCGATGGCAGAACAACAGGGCGGGTATTCCGCAAGCCTGAGTGTCCATAGCTGGCTACAATGCATTAAAATATATATCGTGAATCTATGTATAAAACTCAGGTAAAATAATAAATGTTATAACTTTTCACAAATTCATACACAAAACATTATAGAAAATAAAATTCCATGTATTGCACCCTCAGCTGTTAGTGGGAGCCAGCCAATGAAAGACTAGTCTGAATTGAGTTGTGACTTAGAAGTCATCTCGTAGATTGTGCTTAAACTGCTGGCTGTGGGAAATTTCAACAGTATTAATGTACACACCTCACCCACAGCTAACATGCTAGGGTTCACAGGCTATACACCGTACCGTGATTTCTGGTCTCCCCACCTTCCATATGATGGAAGCGTCCGGCTAGAACGTATTTAAAATCACAAAGCCTTTACTCAGACCTTCCCGGGGTGAATGTGAGTGACAAACACTCTGTGTGTACACCCCATGTACGAGATTAACATTGGCTTGCCATTACCCTTAGCTTCATCATTGGGCTGTATTAACAAAGATAAATTTTTAATTAAGGATAAACTTACGTTCTTCATCTGCGGGGTCTGCCCAACTGTTTGATGTCGCGATTGTAGTGGGCTCTGCAATGATGTCTGTGATGTTGGCTTTGACCCATTTTGGCTTTTTGGTCTTCTTGCCTGAAAACACCATGTGTGCAATGTAGCCAAAAACATTGAGATACTGCAATATTGATGACGCATTGCATGTGAACGACCTACTCCCAATTTCGGAATTCGTGGGAATGAAGGTAAAGAACATCCAAGGTTATGATTACTGTCATAAGAAAATTCGCTAAAACAACTTAAGATAGATGTGAATATTTGCATGGAGGACATGATAGTTGTTTAAACGAACGTTTAAGATATGTGGCCACGCGGTAAATCCAAACGTCTGCAGAGGTGATTAGATGACACGTTAGCAGAGTAATACATTTTTTAAATTTACTCAAACTATATATTAATAATCAAGAGACCTTAATTGACTCAAAATGTTATAGAAAAACGAAAAACGCAATAAATAAACAGCTAAAAACTAAGGTTTTTGAAATGACAAAATTAATAGAACTAACCTGTAGCGGCCATATTACAAGGCTGGGGCCAATGTTGCCATTAAATAACAATATTTTTATGTCCTATAGCCAACATGTCAAAACTGCAATAAAAGTTACCATATAAAAAAATACCATTACAGTGATTTGCAATGATATTTATACGAATGAGGAAGAGGAGAGCTTACGCATGTAGTTATGAATTATAATAATAAAAAAATAAAATTCAGCTTACTTTTCTTTTAGCAATTATGAAATAGGTTATAACTGAACTATACAAACATCAAAAAATATCCTTAAACTGACTTCACTGATCATTAATCATTAATGCAAAAAAAATTAATTCCTTGTAATAATTTACGAATATATAAAACAATTAATTAAATTAAATAATTATAAAAATAAATTCTTAACAATAAATACTTAATATACAGACTGCAGTGGGCGGACCTTTCAGGTCACAGATAAAATATAGTTCCAGGTATTTCTGCGACATTGTTTTATATTATCTGCGCCATGTGTAATGCTATACATATTAGGGATCCAAACCACAGATTATTCAATTGCACATTGGTACCTTCGCGCGGGCAGGCTCTAGTGTACAATTAGTAGGGCAGAACCAGGCAAAACTTTAATGCGCGTTGGGGTGCACAAATTTACTTCTAAGACAACGTTTTAGATGAATAATGATATTCAAATCACAAAAAGAATGGTCAACTAATATTTCCATCAATGTATTCATGTTTATCATTAGAAGTATTGGTACCATTGGTAATAGCTACCAATAGAATCGTTGTTAAAATTTTAAAAAATATATTTCCAATAAATCGTAGTAACCGCATTTAAACAAAGGTGGTTAAGATTCGCGTACTATCTTCAAACCTGAATCGTGCACTCTAATATCGTTAAATGGTTAATTAGTTTTTATACTTCCTATAATTACAAGATTTTAATCAACTAATTTTATTTATAATTATATGGGTATAGATAAATCGAAAAACTACTTAAAAATTACAAATTGCAATATATTTTGTGCACGCACAATGAATAAAGGAAAATATAAAAAAATGCATTAGCGATTAATAATTTTTATTAGAATCGTTTGTTGGTTTGTATAATATTGTATACAAACCAACAATATACGCGCATGCTGTAGCTTTTGTAGCCATGGCACTGCAGTATTGCATACACCTGTGGTTGTTATCGAACCAATATTGCGATTTTCAAAGGCGTTTTATTGTGACACGGATGACGCGGCTAGACAGCCGTTGGCCGTTGCAAGCAAGCGGCAAAACTGGCAAGTGGCGATGGCGATAGATGGCATTCGAGTCGTGTTGTCTTAACGAACGAACGTGCCCGTGCTAAGTGCCCCGAGAGTTCCGTTATTTAAGATTTTTATATTCTCCGACTTGCAACGCCCGCGCTTTTAGCTTACTGCATAAAGATTTTCCAAACGTATTATGAATTTAGGTTTGAGTGTTGTGATAATTGATAACAACAGTGATGTAAATAGTGTTGTGTTTACGTTGTTAATTTCGTATTGGTGTACAGTGTAAAGGTTTGTTTACAATGGGGTATACGTCTAGTGGAACTGGGAGGGCGGCGCACGAGGCGCTGCTAGCTCGTCAGGATGCAGAGCTGCGTTTGATGGAGACAATGAAGCGAAGTTTACAAGCTAAGATGAAGAGTGACAGGGAATATGCCCTAGCGCTGTCGGCCGCCGCGGCGCAAGGACAAAAGATGGACAAATGCGAGGAATTGAACGGTAACTATCGAAGTGCAGTAAAGTAGCGGACAAAGGCGTCTATCGTTATAAACAAAATACAATGATAAATGATAATAGAACCCTTAGAAAAATTCTTATAAGGATAATACTAGAAATTTTACTTATTGACACTCTATTATAGTCAGTAGGTACTTTTTATTTCACTATAAATGTGGGTGGTTTGTAATAAAGGTAATCTATTACCTATTTTAAAAAAATCTTCTGAAATCTGCGTTTTCCTGTAAGAGGATTCCTTCGTACCTGGTACGTATATAAAATAGGTACAGGCATCTTCAACATTCATGTTTCATTATGTTTTTTAATATTACCATACTTGATTGATAAGTTTTAACTGCTATATACCCTAAATTCAATTATAAAAGTGTCAATTGAATTTTAGTTTAGTTACCTATAATATGTTGGTACCGCGCGCGATTTTTTGCATAAATCTTTAGACATATCGTCAATAAAGGTATACACCGTATTACATAATATTATTTAGTAACTTACTCGATACAAATACTGAGAAACGACTTCATGAGGTGTGGTGTTACTTTTAAAATACCGAATCACAATGTTAAGTTACTCTTAATGACATTTTAGGTGGTGTTGCAGTTATCGTTATATTTTAAATTAAATACTGTCTGTCGTTTACGTAATTTTAAATTGTCATTTGAACAATAGTGGTTCGATGGTTTACTGCATTTTTCACAAGATAGCCAAGTACGGTGTTCACGTAATGAAAAGAGAAATGTCCCAGCCACATAACATCTCAAAAAAAATACGCTATCTTTGCATATTCGGAAATTACAGATTAAAATCGAAATGCGATTAAACTTCACGGCTTTTAATCTGTGGACGGTGGTTAGACCCGATATTTTTACCACCCATTTCATATCCAGATTTCCAGATGAAGTCAAACATGTTTCAGTAAAGTTATAAATTGATTAGAAACTAGATGGCACCGAACCACTGACCAATAAACAGTTCTCCCTGAACATTCTGACAACGGAGCCTTTTAAATATTATAGGATCAGTGATAGCATCGGCATGGCGTACAATGACTGAAGAGTGGGAGAACACCAGCCGCCTCATCAAGACCAACGCTGAAGCTCTAGAATCCAGGGCCCTGGACCGCCTCAACACGCTCATGGCCGAACGAAGGAAAGCACGCAAAGCCTACCAGGAGGATCACACGAAAATTTCGTCGCAGTTCGCTCAGGTAAGTGCTGTTTGACAGAAACATCTTTTAATAAGTTACTGATCTTATCGAATCTCACTTTTCAGAAATCGGTACCAAGTTGTTAAAAGGTTATCGACAGTAAAATAGCATCATAAATTGTTCAATCCAACGTACAACAAGGCCTGCCCGAGTGATTTTTTTTTTAAATTTATTTTCGATTTTTATAATAATATAACTGTTACTAAAGTACACACCAAAATGTTCTATTCAAGAAACTCGCTTGAACCGGGAAAAATTAAATACTGTCTATAGTTTACGCGAGTAGTACACATTTAAATAAAACACTTTAACTGTTTAAAACGCGATATATTAGTTAAACTTATTTGAAAATGATTTTTAACTTCGGCCCGACGTTTCGGATGCTTTGCAGCAGCCGTCTCCCCGTGACCACGGCTGCTTTTTAAACCGTTAAAGTGTTTTATTTAAACGGGAAAAATTAATTAGGTTTGAGGTATATGACGTGTTATAGCTAATTCTGCAGCGATTGGCTAGTCACTACAAGCAGTGTTAGTTTTACTAGATTTTCATATCACCGTGTCTGATCACGTGCCGTTCGCGATTAGTACACTGAGTCATTTCTATTTGTGTATGTCATGCTTCCAAGATATACCCAAAATCAATTAACAAATATTGCGATACCGTTTAGTAATACAATCGTTTGCTTATACTGGTTTATGATATATTGGGTTATATTTTAGAACTCTACGATGACCTAACAAGTAAATCTATCGAAAATAAACACTACATAGTATAAAATAAAGTCGCTTTTTATAATATACATTATAGATACTATTTACTAACTATTTTTATATTCATCTTATAAAAAATGCTACAACTCCTAGCCACTTCGATATCCTTGACTTTGTCATAAAAACACCAATCGAGCTTAAAGCTGTCGATAACCAGTATACGATTAATGCGACTAATGTCGGTCCGTTAGTGGCATTTAGCTCATCTAGTTTCCATGTTCGTTCATCCGTTTCCTCTTAGTCTTGCCGCTTACATAAATTAGGTCTTGACTCGAAAGAATTGTGTCGATACGGTTCGCTTACTCTTCTCCAATCTTAGCTCTATACGCCTAGAGCTCATGACGACCAAACCCATATTTTACGAACAGAACGTGATTTTTCAGATAGGGAAAAATAGAGAAGCATAGGCCACTTGATGGTAGGTGAAATACCCTAGCGTTAAATTTGTATATTTGGAACAGACTGACACCGAAACGCGATTAAACTTCACCGCTTTTTCATCTGTGGACGGTGGTTCGTGGTGACCCGGGCGGAATTTTGATATCCAGCCCATTCAATATCAAGATTTCCAGACGAAGTCTAACGTCTATAGTTTACGCGAGTAGTACACATTTAAATAAAACACTTTAACGGTTTAAAACGCGATATATTAGTTAAACCTATTTGGAAATGATTTTTAACTTCGGCCCGACGTTACGAACGATAGACAGATAGACGAATTAGAAGTCTAACGTGTTTCAGAAAAATTCTAAAATTTGATAAAATGTGGTGAAACCTAGTGGAGATCGAACCCAACTCGTAGATTACTATCTATACATTGCAACCATTAAAAGACCGTCAAACCATGCAACAGAAGAGGAACTTTCTCTTATCTCAAAAAATCTTATGTCTCTTACTAAATAATCGGACCGCAAATGTTTAAATAACGCGAGAAAATCTACCTCTTGATCTATAGGTAATGTCGGACAACTCTATCGGTTTCAGTAAATTACTTGCGGTACTTGGACAGTTGATGGATAACATCGCGTCATGATAGCAGTATAAGTAGCCGATAGCAATCGGAACGATTATATGCAGATATTTAAAACGATTACGTTACCTAAGGAACAAGATTAGGTTCGCCTAAGAAAGCTTAATGCACTATATTGATAAAAATTAGTCATGTTTCTCGAAATTTATCACAATTTATAAAACAACATACTTTTCAGAATTTAAATAAAACACTATAACGGATTAAAACGCGATATATTAGTTAAACTTATTTGAAAATTATTTTTAACTTCGACCTGACATTTTGGATGCTTTGCAACGGCCGTGGTCAGGGAGAGACGGGTCTTCCTTTAACTAATATATCGCGTTTTAAACCGTAACAGTATTTTATTTAAATGTGCACTACTCGCGTAAGCTATAGACAGTGCTTTACAGAATTCCTAACGAACAAGCACCAGTAAGTGTATTGTTGATGTTCAGAAGTTGTGTATATACATGTACACAATAAAGAATTGCCTTAATATATACATATTAAGCCGATTCTTTATTGGTTGTGCTACTTAAATCAAACAAGAGTAAATTTTATGATTTATTTATTACGTTCAGTGCAAAAAAATATTATCAGACTTAGTAACTACTACTGTCAATGCGTGTTACCTGACAGGTATTTTCCATTAAACTTATCGACACTACTGACCCATACCTCCCCACCGGTGGATGCGTCCCACTCCCAAGTCGTGGTGACAATACCAGAATCAATACTCGCACAGTATTTCATTATCGATCTCCATGAGATAATCTCACAAACGATTAAGGACCACATAACTATGTATTACAAAATACAATATATTATGTATAACAGAGACACAATTCGCGTCGGAACATTTGGATTCACGCCAATTTTTCTTTCGATGTAAATAAAGCGAACTATAATAGTTTCACCCGCATGCGAGCTGTTTTAGTTTAAGCCATCTGTTAGAAATATGTAATTGTACTAGTAGAACGCGAATCTAGGATAACACGTTATAAAAATAGATGTGTTTGTGCTATTTTTCTTCATAAATTATAGTGAGTGATTTTTATTACTATAATATGACAGTATGGTCAGTCTGTTTCGTTGGTTTAAAAATATATTGACACATACAAAGAACATCTAAGATGTCAAAAGCTAACATACCGTTTGTTTGAAAACTTTAATATTTTTCACATGTTATTGCACATGATGGCGCTATAACAAAAAGTTGAGAAACTGCGCGATATATCGAAAAATTGAAAAAAATTCGGCGATGAGGTGTAGGTCTCCGTAGCTCAATTGCTAGAGCAACAGCACGAAACGCTGACGATGCCGGTTCAAATCCTGCCTGAGTCGACCATTTTTCAATTTATTTTCGATTTTTATATTATACCGTTTGTTACTATGCTTTAGACTAGACAATGGACTAGCTTCGTTTAGCCAAGCTTCTTTGTATGAGTGATAATAAAAACCATTAACATCGATTGTATATACATACTTAGTTAAAATGACTCGCCCTTTAAGTACATTCATAATTTATAATTCCCGTACAACATTTTTTCAATATAATCTTTAGGTTGTAATATTAATTTTAATAATATGGCTGACGCATTGCTAAATATTTTTGTCATTTAATAAATAAGTTCTTAGCATTGGGCCTAGAAAGTAATTTTCAAGGCAATTAAGTTACACGTTAGGGAAAAAACACTAGAATACACTTAACAAAATGACTCTGACGATTTCGTTGTATACTGGCGACCCACATTTAGAAAATACGAAGTATAGTGTAGTTCTTTTGAACAACCTATTAATTAACCTTATGAGCCATGTGTCGAATAAAATTTGTTTATAGAATAATTTTCTATCGCAAAAACGATTGTAATCCTACTAATATTATAAACGTGAAAGTTTGTATATGTGGATGGATGTTTGCTACTCTTTCACGTAAAAACTACTGAATGGATTTCAATTAAACTCTCCAATAATATAGCTTATACGTCAGAATAACACATAGGCTACAATTTATAAAGATATTGTGTGAGCTGTCCAAAATATGACATTTAGTGTCAAGTAACTAGGAAAAAACCTACCTTTCTGCGAGCTATTCTGGCGTGCGCTGCCATTAATTACGCATAATTATGTAATGTATGATATGAGAGACATCATTCAATTTAAATGCGCGATACTACGTAATCCTAATCCTGCGTAGACGAAGTCGCGGGCACCAGCTAGTCTGTATATACATACGCGAATTGTGTAAATGGCTTTCGATTCTAACCTTAGAAAGAAATGTGGTAGGAAGAAGCACACTGAACAATTAATTCACTTTGTTAATTAAAGACACAAAAAAATGCTGTTCATCGATGTTTTCTTCACTGGCGAGCATACACCGGGTATAGAACTCCCAATTTATCGTCCAGGTCAAACCGACTGCACTAGTAGACGCACCTCTAGCACATCTGTGGGAATAGAAAAATAGTCTTAATATTTATAACAAAAAAAAAATATTAACAAGATTAGGATAGTAATAGTAAGTCGTTTATTATTTAAAGAAAACACTTTAACGGTTTAAAACTGTGTATATATTCGTTAAACATATTTGAAAATTATTCTAACTACGGCGCGACGTTTGGGATGCTTTGCAACAGCCATGGTCTCGGGGAGACGTTTTAAACCCTTGATGATTTTTATTTAAATGCGTGCTACTCGCGTAAAGTACAGACAGTATTTAGTATATTATTTTTAAATTCTGTGTGAATGCATCGTGAAGGGTCGAAGAAGGTTAAAGTTGAGTAAGAGGAATTGAAATGCACCGAACTGAATCCGGTCGCAATTGGCAGTCTCTCGCTCTGATTGGGCCGGATGCGTTCTAGATACGTTAATGTCGGATCGAGAATCGTGTCTCCGAGACAAGTGTAAAAAACAGGAACTGGGCCGAAAGAGTCGCGAGCGTCTTGTCTTGCGCTCGTTGCTGACCCAGATCGGTATTTCCGGAAATAGTGAAATTGTTCGTGTTGATCCACGAGGCTCGGGCATTTCGCTTGGGTTCGAATACCGATGATGGTTGAAGTATAGGATTTTTGGTTTATAAATAACAAACAAAAACACTGAAAAAAAGATTATTATTATCGTAAGAAAGACCTGAGCGAAATTATAAAAATATTAATTTGAAGACTGTCTATAGTTTACACGAGTAGTACACATTTAAATAAAACACTTTAACGGTT